TCCAACCAGGTGTTGACCACTCGGTCAATGGTCGCCTTCTCCGCGTCCTTCACCTTCTTCTCGGCGATCCTCTTGCACGTTTGTTTCCATTCGGCCTTGAGGGTGTCTGTCAAGATGCCAGCTGGTTTGTATGCGCCCATTCCGACAAACATCGACACCAAGCCGTTCACCCGCTTTTGGACGGCCTCATCCAGGTTCTTGGTGACGTTGACGGCCTTGGGCTTTTTCTTGTAGATTGTCTTGCGCACAGGGCGCAGAGTGACGGAACCCTTGGGGTTGTCCTCCACGACTTTGGCCCCAGCAGCAAGGAGGTGCTCTTCCACCCTTGCTCTTGTCTGCAGCCAGTCATCTGCTACGTGATGGCCAGCTAGTCCAACGACTTGATCGTAGTCGGTGTAGGCATAGGCGAAGTCGTTGTCGTCCAGGAGGCCTTCGTTCTCCCTCCATTGACGCGCACGCTGTGCAGCTATCATCATCAAGGAGTCGGCTGCTCTCCATCCCGGTTCAGGGTCACCCCCTGACGAGGACGAAGCTGCCGCTTGAGCTGCATAGTAGCCTTTGCCGCCTGATGCCATGGCGCTGCACCCTAACAAGATTGCTAAGGTGCGGAGAGCAAAAAGATGCTGCGGTGACTTCAGAGGTGCCTCCTCTGTCATAAAATCAACCTGCAGCAAACATCTTCTTACGTCCTCCACAAGTGCTGCAGGGCTCACGCCAGGTGAAGCAGTCACTACACATCCCGACGCAGCATGCCCAGCACACGCGCCTGGTGGGATCTCCGCACTCTGTGCAGGCGGTGCCCAGCTGAAGCATGCCTGCATCCTGGCATTCCAGCCATCCACATAGCGCTCGATGTGCCCTGGCGCCTTCTCTCCCCCAGGCCACCCAGGGTCGCCCCCTAGGTGCTCTGGGGAAATGCCGCGGCTCGAGGAAGACCGGTAGGAGCTCGTGAGGGCCTGTGCATCTGAGCCAGCTCCTCCATTGATCGAACAGCTCCCCCAAGCCCAGTTGCCCAGCGTCGCCCGCTGAGCACCTGAGCTGCAACCCGTAGAGATCCTGGGGCACGATGTCAGCGGCCACTTTGTGCTTCGTATAGGCAGCGACCAGCAGCAGGTCCATGGGGTCCTGGTGCTGGTAGTAGTACGCCCAAGCATCCGCAGGCGCCACATCATCGGGCAGCACAACGCCACGGCTGTTCCACAAGCCGAGCCACGGGAACTTGAACCCCCCCACATGAGCTGCGCAACGCTGGCAGTCATCAAGGCAACAGGGTAGCTTCGGCAGGGGGGGGAAAAGCTCTGAATCTGTCCCAGTCGTGATGACGTAGGGGGAATGCAACACTTCAATGCCATGCATCCAGCATGTGTATGCTGCAGCATCAGAGCCCTCCCGCGCCAGCCTTTCCACGTGGCTCTTGAACTCCAGGAAAGCAGCAGCATGAAGGATCTTCGCCTCAGTGGCTGCCGGGATATCGATTCCTGGGAGTTTGCGCTGCATACAAGGTCGCCCCTTGTATATAATTTGAACCACCCAATCAAGGTCTGGAAAGGTCACCCCTTACCAAGACCAAGAAAGAAAACAGCAATGAATGCTATTTTGGTTCAAGTTTACTTGAGCCAAAATGGTAGCATTCATTGAAACACTTAAAGATGATACATGCACACCCAAGCCTGCCAAACTCAATGCATGGGTATACCTACATGGATATATGGCCTGTCTGTCTGTCTGTCAAGCCGTGCGCCGCGTGGGAGCGTGGGCAGCTCCAACTCCATACATATGCACACAACATGCATACTAAAAACTTAAAGGCATTGTGCTACAAGGCAGCCTGACTGGCCCCAATCGATTCATTGGTTCAAAACCAGTTGGCGCCATTGCTTTTCATTCTGGACAAAAAATAACAGATTGCGAGTACTACCTGTAAAGGAAAGTGCTAAAGAAAAAACTTCAGGTATCCAATCTTTACCAGGCCGGCCTACCCTTCTCAGATATCGAGATGTAGCAGCAGTGTATGTGCCAGGTTCAAACGAGACTTGTCTCAGAGGGTGGTGCGGGTGGCAACGCAGAATCTTTCCCAAGAGCAACAGCTGTTTTCGTTCAAGAAGTTTGGACACTGGAACGTGCGCACTTCGTTGCCAGACTTCAGCATTGGATGTTCTGGACAAGAAAGATAGCTGTATTCCCAAAATAGAACGCAAACATCTGTTCTGGAAACCATCTAAGCGACGTTTTTCTTGCTTCGTCAAAACCAATGCGCACAGGCTATAGAGGAGCCTTGATTCAACCACAGTTTGTAAATTTGCACTTTTTGGCGGTAGTGCAGCGATGAATGTTTCCAAACCTTCTGCAGTGCCGTAAAATCACTTTTGGCAATCCCAATGCGTCTAGATAGTTCGTTGCCATGCTTACCATCAGCAGTCATCATCGTGCCCAAGTACATCATACATTGCTGTGTCTGTATGCACGTGTTGTCTGGTAAACGAATATCAGGACTGCAACGCACACCTAGGAGTTGGAATTTGCCATCGTGAAGTTCCATGCCATACTTGCGACCAGATGCCGCTACAGTCTGCATGTATTCAGTCAAGTACAAAGTGGATACTCCCATCAACAGCGTATCATCTGCATAGACAACGTCAGCCAAACCCCCCCGTTCAAAAGCCTCCCTGGCAGCCCCCTGCAACATGCTGAGCGCATCGTGCATCAGAACGGACATGAGGATAACAAAAATAAGGGGACTTAAAGTGCAACCTTGGGAAATTCCAGACATTTGGCTATGTAGGGCAGAAGTCTCACCACAGTCTGTGACGAAGAAATGTCTGCTTCGCATCATCGCACCGATCATGTGAAAACCTTGTGGCAAACCAAAACGACGTAAAGCATCGAGTAAGCTATCAACATGTACACTGCCAAAGGCTTTCTTCCAATCCAAAGCAAGCAATTTGATCTGTCCAAAGCGGGCTGCACAAGCATTTTCAACGTGTCGTCTAGCAATATAAATAGCATCTTCCGTACCGTAACGCGGTCTGAAACCAAACTGAGTTTTCCAAAGCGCACCCAGAACCCCACCACCAACGAGTCTGTTTTTGAGCATTGCTGCAAACATTTTGTAGGCAATGCATAAAATACTGATCGGCCTGTAGTTGTCACACTCAGCAGGATCACCCTTTTTGAAAATCAAAGCCATGGAAGCAGTAGACCAAGTTTGCGGCACTGCTTTCTGTTCCAAACATCGGTTGCAGAAGTCCAACACCCAAAGCATTTCGGCAGACCCAGAAGCCAAAAGAGCTTTGAACACTTCACTTGGGATATCACCTTGTTTGGTAGCTTTGTTTGGGGCAAGCCTTGCAACAGCAAATTCGAGTTCCTGAATGGTGAACGGGTCTAAGCCTAAGCTCACTGGCAATTCCGCACGAAGCGGTGGCTCAAGATCCGGGATCAAAGTTGCAGGACGAACCCTCCACTGTATATTTTCCAAATGTTCTGCAAAAGTTTCAGCGCGGAGATCAGAATCCACGAGTTCCCCACGACAATTCTTTAAACGACCTTCTTGCTTACGAGGACCCTTTTTCAAATACTTGAATGCATTCCAGCTCTGCGACGCAACCAAATTCTCCAGCCAGTCTGCTTTGTCTTTGCGCACAGCGACTTGGACAGTCTTCCTAAGGCGTTTCTCCTCTGGTCAGTTCCCATTTTCCCTAGCAGAACGCTTGGCGGAAATCAACCTGAGAGTACCTGAGCTAATCCATGGCCATTTTGCGACAGGAACATTGACAGGAACAACCTTGGCAACTGACGAGTTTACTCTTTCACACCAACCCTCCCAAGCGGCATTGATGTCTACATCCAGCGGACTGCTGGCAGGAACTGCTTGCAGTTCCAAGGCTAAGCGATGTTGTGTTGCAGTGTCTTTCAAAGCAGAAAGGTGCAAGCGGCTGACATGCTTACGGGGAGAAGATTGAGGAATGCGCACATCAAGGATAGCACTGCTGATCTATCACTGAAAACGTCACGAATGTGATTTTTGAAATGTGCCCCAACAAGTAAAAAATCAAGCATTGCAAAACCTGCCTCAGAAACCGGATCTGCTGGTCCAACATGCGGCTCATGGTGTGTTACCAGTCTCTCTTGTGGTTGTGGGCAAAACGTGTTTGCAATTATCATCGCCAAACTTTGACACCACTCAAGCAGCAAATCTCTGTTCGGGATATCAACTTGATGCTGGGCAATTCTACCAAAGCAAAAATCACCAAGAACATCATCTTCACCAATTTGACGCTGGCCAATGCGTGCGTTGAGGTCGCCAAAAACCAATTTGGGTCCGTTCACTGACAATCTGCCCATCACAAAAGAAAGGTCTTCATAGAATTTCAGTTTGTCATCAGCAGGTTTCAGGTTGATCTAAATTCCTGTCTGCAAACGGCCATTCTTCGCGAATAAAACAATCATTACTTTCGCGAATCTTTCGCGAACCCCATGTTTATCTTTCGCAGGGTCTCATGTTCGCTAAATCTTTCGCCCAAACAAAAATTACTTTCGCGAACCAGAAAAAACTTTCGCAGGGTCTCATGTTGGAACCCTTGCGGCAATTGTAATGGACAATCTCTACATGGACCTTTAGATCGACAAACATATACATGCCTCCTAATATGTATCCTCCTAACATGTATCGGCATACGCAGGTCTTTTTTCTCGGTATCGGCATATGCATGTAGTGTACTTGGGTCCATGCTTACCTTTATGCACCATATGGCACCTGGCTTTTGGTCCCAAAATCCCGAATTTCGTGGCACCTTGCGGCGGTCCAGAATTTCCATGATCCGGGCAGCTGTTTCAACCACACCAGCGTTACTTGTGTCCTCAAGCCACGGAAATCCACGGAACATCTGCAAAGATTCCAGTGATTCCAGGTCTATGGAGCAAGACAGCTCTAGAGGATATGACAGAAGCATGCAGCAACCAAATTCAATAAATTGAATCCCAAGCTGATCATGGCTTCATCAGCAACTAAGAGTGGTGCTATGATCGGCCACTTTGGGCCCTTTCGCCTGAGCATGCTGCCAATTACACAAAATCAAACAACCAAGAAGAAAGTTCCGGTAGAACGACAGAAAGGGAACAACAAATGATCTGCTTTGTTTGCTTTCGAAGCGGAGTGCAGAGACAAGCCAAACGAGTGGCAAGTAAAAGTTCTTGATCCAGCTCACTTCCTTCTTGATGTTTGTCCTCAGAGCAAGATTGTGTTAACGATGGCACTAGCGCCCGCGTTTAGGTCTTACAAAATCTTATTTTTCACACCATGGTTTCTCCCTGGTTCATATGCTACAAGTTCTTGTCGCACTTTGATGCTATACAATTTCACCCCCTGTGTTTCAAGCAGCAGTTCTTGCAACATTTGCAACAATGTATGCAATTTTGAGTGTTGTGGCATGTTTTGGCACTGTGTCCCAACAAAAGCACCTCCGTATCAGTCCCGCGAAGATTGTCAACTCCAAGGAACAAATTGGCATACTGCGTGTTGGAACGATTAAACTGCTTCATTCGCTGAGTGCCTCAGTGGAACAGTATGGAACCATTGTCGCCAAATGGTGTATCCATCGGCGATAAAGAGAACACGTCCAAGCCACGAATCTCCCGTAGTCTTTCAGGCTTGATCTGCAAAGCAAAACACTTCTGCTGATCAAGCTCAAAAAGCTCCTGAAACATTTGAAACATCCAAAAAAATGAAAACAATTGTTAAACAATTGTTAAAACAATCCAAAACAATCCCATTATCTTTCCAGGCCATGGACATCAGAATGGAAACGCTGTCCTTCGGTGGCTCCTCCTCTGGCACCAAAGGATAGTTTGCCACCTGAAATTGCTGGTGGAGTGCGAAGCAGTGGCCAGGGACAGGCTGTCGCATGCTAGGCACCAAAAAGATCTCAACTGACACAACATCCAAGCTTCACGTTTCACCTCCCTCAAGATTCTACCCGACTTTTTGAGAATACGGTCATTTCCAGCCTTATAGCCTCTCTGTGCCAAGTAGAATGACAAGGGTGTCTTTCCAGCTCGAGATGGCCCAATCAGCATTACGTCGCACTCGTTCCAAAGGTGGGGTAAAACCTGGGGTGCTCCCTGCACGTCTCACACCACAACATGCCGGACGCCTTTCATGATGTGCCCCTGAAATTTGCAAGTTGGTCATAAGCCCAGATAAATCCCAATCAACCCTAGTTGTCGGAAGTTATGGGTAGTCATAACCCTATTTTGGATGGTATTCGCAGAGGCCGATCATTCTTGGACCCTTGGACTCAACCAAGTCTGCTACACGATTTCCAACTCCAAAAGGCCAACAGCTTTGGTCAGCTTCTTTGAGACAACAAAGCCTATGCAACTTGGCACAAGAAACGCCATCATCCACCTTTCGAGTGTACTCAATGGCCTTCACCTGGGCAAGGCGCTTCCAGACTGAGCATGTACTTGAGATATCTTGAGATATGCTGCAACCTGACTATGTAGCAACATGTAGCGACTATGTACCAACTTGCAAACGTCTGGAAGTCTGTGAGAGAGAACTCTCCGAGACATTTATCACCGTCAGTGCTTTCTAGGAATACGTTTAGTAGTTGAGTAGTCCACAAGAGGAAGAGTCTTGAGTCTGAAAGCCCAGCCACAATAGTCATGTAATCATCACTGACTGTTTGTCGCCGACCAGCTTTCCCGCTGCGCTTTGCACCAAATCTTCTCTCAAACGAGGCTAACAAAGGACCCCAAAGGTCTATGCCTTCGGAGTGAAAACTTCAGACTTGCGAGTATCTATCCCCCAAACGAAAGAAGAACTTGGCATCGTCACGAAGAATGACAAAACACCAGGGAAACAAAAGATGTTTCGTTTTAATTATATTGATCTCTACATAAAACCCAAGTGACACAGCACATCACCTCAAATCCATGGAGCTACAGTATCTGGAAGCCAAGACGCATTCAAGCTCTTTGGCCGTGCACTCATCAGCGAGAACTCGCTGCAACTTTGGATCCATGATTGTATAGACCTCAGAGTCTCAGCCAAGTCCGTGTTGGCTTCGCAAGTCACCTCTATCCAAGTTATGGGTGCCGAAAGTCAATGGGAGCTCACAGGCAATCAAAGGCAAATGCTATTCAATCGTTGCTTTATCGGAATCAAGACTCAGTGGTTGGCTAGCAAGGCATTGGACTTCTTGGCCGCTTGGACAATGGTCTTGATCTCTGCTGCCGATCTCACAAATCTGTAGACTGTAGCGCGGCTCGTTGCACATGTCGACCCGGAACAGTACTCAAACTGCGCAGCCGCAGTTTTCACCGAAGCATTTGCGGATTCCCCAGTGCTGTCCGATAAGACAAAGATGTTCACGAGCTGACTGGCAGCACAGGTGTCACCATCACCTATGCTGCAGTGCACAAAGGTTTTGAGGGATTAAAACAGTGCATCGCCTTCTGTTGTTTCAACTGTTTGCGCACCCCCCGCCTTCATCATCCTCATCGTCGTCATCGTCATCTTCTTCTTCCGTTTGAGAAAGAATGATGGAATCGAATGTGGCTCGATCCAAGCGCAACAATCGGCAGGAGGTCTGCGCAGAAGCTGAGCATCTGTGAGGCGTATTGCCCAGCAAGCATTCAGCACCGATGTAACTCCCCTGGCTCACTGGGCGCCGTTCTGGCTCCACTCGTCCAGCACGGGGGATTTCCAACAAGACATCTCCCTGGCAGGGAACAGCATTGAACATCATTGAACAGCATGCAGGGAGATTACTGTACTAGTATCCTGCCATTCTTGTGATCCTCATTCTCCCCCTACTCCTCCTCCTTATCCTTCTCGTCCTCCTCCTCCTCATCATCATCATCATCATCATCATCCTTATCCTTGACATCTTGAAACAGTAGAATTGCATGGTATGATCTCTGCCTTTGTCACCCCAAGAGTTTCAGCCTTATGTGTCTCAACCCTCAAGACCATAGCATGATAGGATCAGTGGACAAGATTTGGGCATCACTGCACCTCTGCAATGATATACATACTGTCATCAGGTTGTCCTTGCTGAGCGACAATCTCTCCTTTCTCCACTGTGATTGGTACCATGGTTCGGGCCAGCTGCAGAATGACATCCGTGTTGCTCTTGCGCAGCACCACCAACTCCTTCACCTCTGGTAGCACCTGAGATGCAATAAGACAATGTGATGAGAAAACGTGATGGTGCATGTGCATGAATCGATGGATCTGACAATTGCGCTATTGCACATTCATCATGTTGAAACGACCAAAATGCGTAATTTGTACATCTTTGTAAGGTATACCAGGCATAGTTCTCAAGTCATAGTATCACAACGCTCGAGCGCTCAAACACTCAACTTGACCCTGCTCACCTGTCTCAGCAAGGAGATGTCGTCATCTGTCAAAGTTTCAACGCCTGCCTGAACCAAACGCAGACCATCTAGCAGGAAAACGGCCAGTATTGCGCAAACATATTTGGTTAAGAGGTCCATCCCAATTATTAACGGGGCTTGTCATGCCACCTCTTTCACTTTGATGTATACAACTCTCAGATCTTACTCTGCGACTCCCAGCCTTTTCAGCATCTTGGGCATGACGATGCACCCGGCATGCTTTTCGCCGTCTGGTCACAGCCCCTGCTGATTTACGAACAGCGGCACGGCAGGCACTGGTAACAAACAATGTTGAGACATGCTGTTGAAAGTCAAAATTGCATGGTTCACTATGCCAAGCATCAGATAAACAATTACATTGAGTATATAAACGTCCGTTTGATCTTCATGAAATAAAGACATTGCAGCTGACATGAGTTCACAACTCCAACTCGAAGCCTGCCACCGCCAAAGCAACTGGCCCATGCTTCAGGACCTTGTGAGCCTGTCTGCCAGCACAAACAGTCCCCAGGACCAATGGCATGTTAACATTGAGAGCCCTCCACACCTCAAAACCATTCACTGGCCGCCCAGTGAAGTGACTGCCAGCACCAAAAACTTTGCCACGGGCATCGAAAGCGTGCGGTAGCGCGCATGGCTTCAGTGATTTACTCAGCATCGCTTTGCCGATCTTCTGAATATATTGAACAGGTGGAAACTAAATAAGCCTCTGGTACACAAAAAGCGCAACAAAGACTTACTCTACAAGCAACAATAACTTCCAGTGAGGATCGTTGCTAACTCCTGTCATACTCTTGGACTGTGGTCGTTGGACTTGGATTGTGATCGTTGCTAGACTCATTTGCATCGGAGCCAAATGGCTGAGATCTCCATGACAAGCACCAGCCGCTGAGAGTCATGTGGATCCGCAAGGACAATCTGCAAGCACTGCACCTGGGTGGATGTTTAAGTGCAATCTGGAGGCAGCAAGGCACCGTTCGCTACGGCCTGGCAGGACAACTGTCACGTCGCAGTGTCTCTATCTTCGTCTTTTCATGTGTGTTGTGAGAAACTGGGACAAAGGATGGAGGAAATCCGATGTGCACAAGATGGTGCAGGAGGATGAGTCGAGGTCGTAAACCTGTGCTATGCAAAGGACTCATTGAAACACGAATCTTACTTGATATCTTGAAGTGTCAGTCTCTGTTAGTCTCTGTTGCCTCATGGTGTTGTTCTGTGTAGTGAGCATAGAGCGCAGTCCACACTGCATCCTGGAGCGTACCCTAAGAGGCATTTGCTGCGATAGCTCAACTTGTGGATCTTACAGACTTGTGGGTGCTACAGACTCTTACAAACACCCAAAATGGACCTTGACGTGTAGCCTCCAAACATCTCCAAACTATTTGCGACTCTGCCTTCAAAAAAGAGAATTCTGAAATGAACCTGACATAACCTGACAGTCAAAGTGTTGCGTGTCCTAATTGAAAAGGCTCAGTTTGGTATCCTCCGTTCAACTCACAGTCTCTGCAGGCTTGGTCCTCTTCGAAATATATAGACTCTAGCTTCATCAATAGAGCGGTCAAAGCCTCAGATTGTAGAACTTGAATCGCAGGTCTATTAATTTGAATCGTGGTTCGAATATGTTCAAATGAAGTTTTTATCAACAGAAGTCATTGGATACTGAATCGAAGTAGGGTGGACTCAGCCAGTCCAATTGACGGATGCCATGTCAAAATACAGCCAAGGCAAGGAATCTGCCCAAGACACATAGCCTGACAATGGTCTTTCCATAATGAAAACCTGAAACTTTATCTAATAGTAGAATCTGTCATGAAGAATTTCATGATGCAAGTCTGGCTCCGGAAGAATCTCACCTATCACTTGAATCACTTCTTCACACTGCCTGTGAAAACAGCATCGCTCCAAAAACCACCCCTGGAGGTTTTGCATCAGTGTGTCACTTAGCTTCCAACTGCTGGGGCACAGCTCCTCAAAGGGCATCTAACAACGTGAAGGATGATGGGGAAGGACACCCTGATGCTTGATGTATCTGTTGCATATTGGGATTCTTTTCTTGCAAATCAAGGTCAGACTATGTCAAATCCTCCAAAAGCTGACATGGGACGTGCGCATTTCGCTCCTGTACATGGAGTCGAAGCGCCTGGCAATGTATCCAAACTCCTGGAAGAGGACCAAGTTTGGGGTGCCATTGCGATACCATGCTCCTGGCGGAAATACCCCGCTGCCAAGCTTCGGGAAAAAAAAGGAATTAGCACAGCTCAACAGCAAGAAGGCTGGGGATGGGCCAAGGGGCGCACCTGAGCGAGCTTTGAACTCCTGAAAGATGTTCAGCTCACATCCACCCAACTGAGAAATATCCTCCACCGCATTGATGTCAACAGCTTCCCCAACTTCCCGGCAGCATCGCTGATAGCTGTAGGTACCATCCCAACAGTTGGGGTTGCCAGTGGGTGGCGGTAAACAGCAGGTCTGATAATTGATCTCCCCAAGCCAACATGTTGGATCACCCTGCGAGGACGCTGGGACCGCAGTGATAAGTGTAAGCCACAAACACCGCCCCCGCCGCATCGCCGCGGCGCTGTGCCACTGTCATCATGGCGAAGGGGCATGGAAATTGGATTCACAACTACATCCAAGGGCATTTTGAGAGTCCGGAATCCAGCAGTCTCAAATGATGTCAAACAGGCCCCAAAACATGGTACATATCAAGCTCTCATGAGATCAATAGCAATGAGTCAACTTCATCTCACACATCCTAAAGCTACAGCAGTCTGAGCCGAATCGCCCACAGGGTAAGACGCTTTATCAGACACAACCAGTCAGAACTGGGCTCAAGTGGCACAGACATTTGAGATCATTTTCCATTTGACAATATTTGACATATGTAGAGCGCAGTCTAACAGCAAAGACTTCCATGCTCCAGAAAAACAAGAAAGAATATTTGACATATAGATTTTTTTGGACTTTTGGGCTATCCCCGAGTTGGAGAGGCCACCATTTTGGACATCACCCTGCTGTAATGGCCTGGCCCGGCATGGACCCCAAGCACTGTAGCAGGCGTTGTCGCTCCTAGCAGCCACAAACCATATGATCCGTAAGACAAACACAGAAGATTGAAAGCTGCAGCTGCACATCGCTGCACCGTCGATCCCCATGATCTTTGGTTGTTGCTGCGACCAGTTGATGCAGGAACCAACTCAAGCAGTTTTTTTATCTCAGCGCACTCCACTCACCATGTGCAACCTGCACTACGCTTAGCTTTGCGCAGACCTGCCAGAGCGTTTTGTGCAACGACAAACTTGGACGCTTAGAGAAGTGCCTTTCCATGCCCGTATTGCTGTCCTGCTAATACAGATTATTAAAAGAACAATATGTTGGGTACTGGACGTGTTCTGTATAGCAAACCCAAATCAAGCAAACAGGGAAAAAGATGCAAGTGATTGAATGGTGTAAGCAAACGATTCATATGGTTGCAATGACCCGCATTCGAATCACATGTTTTATGTGCGAACATGTTTTTTGCACACGCACGGGTTTGTCTAAAAATGGGGCATACTCCACAAAATTGCCAGTTTGAATGGGAAAATGATGATAAACCAATAGAAACCATGGGATTTTGATGTTTTTCCCTTGAATTTTCAGACAAATCTGACGTAGATAGTCCCAGGTGTCCAGCCTCAGATAGCACAAGGCCACCTAACTCCTTCAATCGCGACCACGACCCTGCAGGGGCAGCTTTTGCTGGGTAAATCATTGTTTCAAGTCTGTAAACCATCAGTAGGATTATACATATATATATATATACATATATCTGCGTGTATTGTGTATATGTATGTGTACATACCGTGCGGGGGCTGAGCAGATACCCATATCACCATATTTACATATATATATATACACAGTATACATATATATATATATATGTGCGGTATACGTACAAGTAGTTTAATACACATTATGTTCTCATAATTCTCATATTCAACACTTTGCTAACCCCAAACTACCCTTACTGCCTGTCTGCGTTTTTCCTGTGGCAAGGTGGAGCGAGACCGAGGCTCCTGTGAGTCCGGCCAACTCGACAGCGGAAGCTGGTTTGCTTGGCATACAGGAAATGGACAACACGGAGAGGTAGTTGGCCCAATGGCTGCTAAAGTTTTACCTCGTCTATGATATAGATATGTGTATATATATATATGTGTGTGTGTAATTATTTATATATAACTAAATATAGATGTGTAAAATCCATCCATCCATCCACCCACCCACCCACCCATCCATCCATCCATCCGCCGACCCCTTCCGACAGCAAGGGGAGTGCGCCAGAGAAGAGGGGACAAGAGATGGACCAAAAAATACCAAAAAGATAGAAAGCAAAAAAAAGGAGCAAGAGGCAAGAGAAAGAAGCAGACGCAAAAACAAGACATGGAAGAAAGCAAGCTGCAAGCGCATGAAGAAGAAGAAAAAGAAGCAAGAGGCAAAACAAAGAAGTAGACGTAGACAAATGGCCAAGACATGGAAGAAGAAAGCCAGCTGCAAGAGCAGGCAAGATATGGAATAAGAAAGTAAGCAAGCTGCAAGAGCAAAAAGCAAAAAAGCAAGAATAAGAAGCAAGCGATAAGATGCAAGCAAGATATTCAAGCAAGCAAGATTGCAAGATATGGAATAAGAGAGCAAGAGCAAGAAGCTAGCAAGTGAGAAGAAGAAGAAGAAGCAAGAGGCAAGAGAAAGAAGTAGATGGCAGAAGAAAGCAAGCTGCGGCGACGCCAGCATTTTGGAGGCCTATCTGGGGCTAATTTCCTGTCGGTTCAGAAAGCAACGTTGGGCACTAGCAGCCACAAGCCAAACGTACAATCCGGCCTTCACTGGCCCCTTCACTGGCATGCTGTTTCGATGTGGCGAGACCAGCCTTTGGAGCTAATTTCCTTCTCGGTTCAGAAAGCAACGTTAGGCACTAGCAGCCGCAGGCCAAAGGCACGATCCGGCCTTCACTGGCATGCTGTTTCGGTGTGGCAACACCAGCTTTTGGATGCCTGAGGCCTGCAATTTGGAGCGCACCTGGAATATCTCCCCAGGGGTCGGCAGTCTTATAGTCTTTTGGATCTATCTTAATGTGGCGCCCCTCATTCCAAACAAACCTCATTCCACACCTTTCCATAGCAGAATGCCATGTCAGTCCTTGACAGGCTGTCCAGTCAAGGATTCTAGTTTCCTCTTGGCAGACTCAAGCTTCTCCTGGTCCAGGGAATGAAAGATGAAGAAAACGGTTCAATATGGTCGAAAATCCAAGGTCATATTTTTGCACATATGTTACAAGTGAATGAATGAGAAAGGACAAGCATCACTCTGCACATCCAAGCTCCTCCTCCTTCTCCAGCGTATCGACTGCCTCACCAAGTTCCACAACTTGGCAAAGAATGCAAAGGTATTGAAAAATTGGGAGATGAGAGAAGTGGCCAAACGAAGCACCTGCCCCGTCCACACGAATTCACATTGCACTGTTGCTACACTGAAACTAAGAAACAACGGGCTATGTCTCCATGAATTTCAAGCCTTATCGCGAGCATCCCTCCACTCCCAAGGCTTTTCTTCCTTCTCAGCTTTTTTTCGAAGCTCCTTGGTTCCAAGTACAATGTGAAATAAATTGAAAACATTAAACTACCCACCCGTTCCAAGCAAACTTTGTCATCCCGGACCTCAATCCTCTTCTCGGCTTTCTCTTGCTCCTGTGATTTCAAACAGATCAAACAGTACGGAGGCACTGCTACCACTGCTGTCAACGGATGTTTGAACCCCAGAGCGCGCCTTGGTTTCAGCATCCTCCGCCTCGTCCTCATGCTCTCTTCGGACTCTCGCATGTTCTTCCTTCACCTCCAAGATACTTTTGCTCAGCAAGGAGCCACTTGGGTCCACAACACTTGAGCACCATATGTCTCTGCCCTTGTTAGGATTAAGAAGCATACAATTTCGAGGGTACCCAATTTGTCCAGCTCACTTTAACAAGAAGCAACCGGTTGCTCCCTGGCCTTGCCATCATACTCCTGGCACTGTCACATGCACATCTGCTGATACAATAGCTTGTTCACTCTCACACGCTCAACATACGCAACCGAACAGTTTATAGTTTATAACATCCTCACTTAGTGAACTTGATTGAACAACTATGAGAAACTGTATGGGATTCTGATACTGACGATGATTATGGCAGCTCCTTGCGGATTTGGGCGATCTTTGCCGCCAGCTCTTCCCGGATCTTCAACTCGGCTTGGTCCATGGCCAAGGCCAAGGCGTTCTTGGAGACTTTTCTCATCTCACCTGAGATGTCAACGGAACTCAAGCTCCCAATCCTTCATGGGGGCCAGGCCTTTCGGCCATCCGAATCATTCCACTCCTTCGCAACTAATTGAAAATTGCGACTGCATGTTGGGATATTCGATCAGATTATATTTTGAGATACGATGCAAGGTACAGTATCTGACGTGGTGTTGTGACCCCCGCCAGGCTGGTGGTTGTTTTTACACCTCAAAGTATTGGGGGTCGAGTCATGCTCCTGGTCTTGTTCTTGAAAAAAAAGCCAAGCCGGCTAAGCCATCCATTGGTGGTTTCACGTCATCAAGCATGAACAAGCAGCTTTGCTCTCAGGGCCGCACTGAGTTTGTCTTCCAAATCTGACTTTATCCTCTCAGTTTCATCAGCAACCTGCATGATGTGCAGAAATGACACGCTGGACCCATGGAGTGTTATAAGTTTTGGAAGTAGGGCATAGTAGGGACCATGCTCGATGCTTTCATTGAGCATATCTGCAAGTTGAGGGTTATCTTTCCCAAGCAATTTGCAGCAATGGCCTTGCCCTCGAAAGGCATGCTTTCAATTTTCAACGGGATATCCGAGGCCAATTGATAGAAATCTCAAGATAGCCTTACGTTAACACCCAGCCAAAATCCTTATTTCTTCGGGTGTTGCAACGCATAGAGGAAGACCCTTTGCAAGCAAGTACGATCAACTTAACTACTGTGTAGAAATCAGAACGATCATGCTGCAATCATACTTTGTTGCAGGTACTTTAGCATCTGACATCCGTAGTTCTTATATCATCTTATCCTGGTGAGCACTGCCACAGAAGTCCTGCCTTGCGATCGATTGCATGCAGTGCCTGTTTCTCCATCTTCTTCAAAGAGGCCTTCAACAGTCAAAGGCACAGCACAAGGTCCATGGCATCAAGATATGCATGCAGCTCACAAAGTCTCACAAATGCTCACAACATGTCAACCATGCCATCCGCCAACTGTGGATCTCGCCTCGGCTTCATCCGCCTCAGCCCTTGCATCTTGAACTCGCTCGTAGGCGTCCTACCAAACCCCATGCCATGGCTACCAGCCACCACCAGCCATGGCAGCTGAACAAGTCTCCCCAGTGATACCAGGTCCTCATAGGCATTGCGAGCCGCGCTAATGGCTTCACTCTTCCTGGAAGTGGCTGGTGGCTGGTGATGTTGCGCTTTGACTTTCGCAACGACACATGTTCAAACACAACTTCGGAAGCCCCTTGTATCCCTTGTGTTTAAAACTTTGGCAGCAGTTCATAAAGCAGAAGGATTTGCAACGGCCGTCTAGAGTATCACTTCGGGGATTTTGGTGAGTATCTTACGCCTGACGTTGAAGTAAAGGGTCCTGACGTGGGGATCAAAATTTCAACACCCCTAAACCCACTTCATTTAGCAAACCCAATAGGCGTTTCGACCTCTTTCGACCTCCATTTCTTGATCCACGTTTTCCCATGCGAACCTGGGAAGGCCATCAGGGGTCCGTGATCTTCGACCATCTCTGGGCTCGCTTTCTGCAGCTCGGGAGTCATCACGAGAGTCGCCTGGTGGAGATCGTGCCATTCTTTTCAACATCTGGGCCAAAGAGCAAACAAACTCATGGAATCCGAGTCGGAGAGTTGCAGATAAAGATACGGAAATTGTTGTTTTATGTTGTTTTATGCTGTTTTGATTGCAACGGAATCGAGCCCAATAAGAATGCTATGCCAAGTTGCTCTCGTCTCTGTCCTCCCTGTCGTCCCTGTCGTCCCTTTCTCGATCACGGCCACGGTCGCCCCGATCACGGCGATCGCGGTCGCCACGGTCACGGTCGCCCCGATCCCCTCGGCGATCACCGCGATCACCGCGGTCACCGCGGTCACGGTCACCTCGATCTCGGTCACCACGGTCACCACGGTCACCGCGGTCACCACGGTCACCTACCGCCCATTGACTGATCATTATAAAAGAAAGGACAAAAAAACAAATGCCGAAAGGACAAAAGAACATGCCTGAACTACTTGTTGTGGATGAGGTTGGGACTTTCATCACAGCAAATAGCCGAAGGAGTGAATTCTACGTGCCTTTCTTCAGAGCCCCAATGGGACCATTAAGCCCGCCTCGGCGCCGATCCCGATCTCGCGGTCTCGCATCATAGTAGTCACGAGGTCGCCGATGGCCCCCCCTGAAACTGCAGGGCAGTGGGATGCATGATGGGGTTGCCATGCAGTGCCATCAACCTCTAACAATATCCCAGGGTGCCTAGGGTTTTTGTTGTAGTTGAAAGCCTGGAAATACCATGATTTTAGACTTGACAATACAGGTATACAGGGACCCTTTCCCACTATATCCATTTGGTGTTCATGGTCATTGTCACTTTCCATTCTGAATGTAGCGTCTGATCCTGGGGCATTGGCAAGCTCTGTATCTCCTCCTAATATAACGAGCAAAGAAGGGCTCATATGATTATGCATCCTGGTTCCAACTTCAGAATATTACTTAGAGGTAGACATGCCTGGATGTGACTGGCCCATGTGCCTTGCTTGCAATGACATTGGAACAAAAACAAGGCCTTATACTGATCTGGTGGCCCTACTGATCACCGAGAGAAATTCGTGCGATTCAAGTCCTCAATGAAGCGACTGGAGAAGTCGTCAAGCGGTGTGCAAATCATAGCTGTGCTAATCGCAACAGATGTGCTGGGATCGCTGGGTTGGTTCACGCAAGGCTGCCCTGACTTTGGCCCAAACTTGGTGCGAAAGCTCTGCATTTGATCGAAGGAAGCTCCATCCCATCGCATGTGCGAAGCTGCGCAAGCTAAAATGCATGCGAACTGTGCAAACCGAGCAAAATTCGCAAACGTCATGGACCTGGGAATGCAGTGCGTCCCATAGGTGTATTGTCAGTGGCAGTATCTATCGCAGCGGCATTCAAAGTTACATATACGTTCAATGATTTTCAGGGCTTTTCCATGGCTTGTCCAAACATCCCAGGCCGACCCACTCAATGCCACTAAAGAAAAAATGCTTATTTTTTTTTTTGCCAACAACCACTGACCAAACTGAAAGGCTCCCTTTCCAGCTGGGCCTTTCATTTCTGGATGATTCTTCTCGGACAATTTAGCCGGCAGCAGCCAACTTTGATCTTGCTCAAGCATGGGCTCTTGAAGCGCCAAACTGCTCGCACGCTGCTCCGGAGAACCATCTGGTGCCAATTATGCGAACAGCATCAGAAAATCCTTGACGTCCAGACATCTTGCCCTCTGTGAAAGGCCCCACAGGCTGCAATGCTGACCAATGATAGGACCAAGGGATCAAGAAAGGCTAAAAACCTGTGCAAATGGAAAACATGGAAAACGCTGAAGCAAAATCAATCCACGGAATGGCCTCCTGTCAAAGTCATCTCGACGCCTGTCCCTGGACCTCAGCAAACGTGGCGAGCCGTGGTCAGACAGACTCGGAAACTACAACTGCTTCACATTCATTGGCCCTCACCATCCTCACCGGTTCATAAAGCATTTCGCTTGCACGGCAAAGGCTGCCCTTGCCCAAAACACTATGACTTTGCTTCACCATCAAGCCACGGCAGTTTGTCTAGCCATGTAATGCTTTCAACAATGTACTTTAGGCAACAAGGTCAAAGGAGAAAACGAGCCTTCAATTCACCCTGTTCTGCCTTCAACACATGCCAGTAGGAAGCACAAACCGCATTAGTTTTCATAGAATTTGATAGAGCCCTCAAGTGGCCTGGAACGCTCTCCTCGGCGACCCCTTCTGCTGGGTGAGCGTGAATCTCGACCGCCCCTGCCGCATGCATACTCGGTGTGCACAAAAAAAGGATGAAAAACTTCAGCGAAAGACCCAGACATGTCATGAAGAGTTCGTATGTCAGATCCTTCCAATTCACCTCCTCCAACCTTTCCTGAAAGCCAAAACTGGGTATCCAAGTAGGTGAGTTTGGCATGAAGAGTTTGACGCCTGAATTTCCTCCCTTAGCAGATCTGCCTTTGTCCAGCTTGAGGTTTCTGACCAGGGCGTTCCAGTCTGCAGCCTTGTCCAGCAATCTCTGTTCCTTGATATGAACGAAGCGCCTCGTCAGGGACACCAGGGACTGAGGCTGAACCATGGAGTTTCCTGGGCTTAAGGAACACCAAAGGACACCAAGGGGCACCAAGGGGCACCATTTGGCACTGCCCTGGATTCGCCAAGGAGCGGACACTGAAAATGATGACACGATCGTCGATGCGATGCACCCAAAAAGAGAACAGCCAAGGGCAAAGATCCACAAATGGCAAAGCACAATCCGCAAAGCACAATGCTCAAAGCATGGGTCTTATGCTGCGCAAACCTCACGTGTGCAGCGTGACATCAAACAATGATTCTAAGTATTTTTGCCTTTTGCTCTCACTGCCAAACAACGCACTTGAGTTCAAACAACTGACACCTGTGAGTTGACTGAGGGTCAAAATCTTCTACTGCCATGAGGATCAAGGCAAACTGGCAATTGACAGGCTTGGGGAGGACATCCTTCTTCCGTTCCCATTCCCACACAGCCCCTCCCACTCTCAGCGACGCTCCAGTCTGTTACGTAGGATAGACTTGCATCGGCTGGCGCATTCACAGGATGCACAGATCCATTCTACAGCTTCCTGGCTTCCTCCTCCAGACCCTGCAGATCTTTCGTTGCAATTTAGGCTTTGTGAAGGCCCACCCGCGAAGCTCCAAGCCCATCCCGCCCAAGGCCTCTTCAGCTTTGGAAGCATCTGAGAAGGTGATGAAGCCGAAACCACGGGACTCGCCGCTGTCTCGATCTTTGATGAGTTGTACTTTGATCTCTCCAACTCTTCGAAAAGCTTCTCGGACGTCATCCTGCATCGTTCATTTTGAGCTGTGAATGATTGGATTCTTAGCTGACCACCTATAGACCACACCCACTGCGCCTCTGTAGCATCTGGAGATAACCTCGGCTGAGAGGCAAGATGAAGCAAGAAAACAACCTAGCAGCTGTCCGGCTGTCCCTATCTGAAAAAGGGCGCCTATCACACAACGCAAAGACACAAATGGACATGGACAGCCCCTGATCCACCTCAAAGTTTCAAAAGTGTATCAGTGTATCACAAGAACTGCTTGAAAAAGTCAAGGTAAGCAACTTTCCGATGAACAGCTTCTCAGGCTCCATGACTTTCCTTGGAAAGCAGGAAGACCCAGCTGTTGGTTTCCCTAGTTTCCTCTCAGAGAAGGCACCCAAAAGTTTGAAACATTTCTGTTCGGCATGGTGGGTCAGTTCCAACATTGGACGATCTGTCCAGAACAATGATTATATATTATATAATTGCATCTTGTGTGAACATATGTAAACCAACAACTAACATACCATGACACATGACCATCAATCTGCAGCCTGGCATCCCATCCCTTCCTCGCCCTCCACCACGACGATCGTCAAAACGGTTCCTGGTTGCATACCCATTTCCAGCCAGGACATTCCCTGTGAAGATACCCTGTGGATCCCTGTAATAATTTTGCCTGGCAATGTGAAAGCCACGTGTGCAACAGGCTAAAAACATCAACAAATGCAGGTGTTCCATAACCATTTACCCATGGGTAGCATCTTGCTGATCCATGTGCCTCTGGTCTCTCAGCTCCAAACGCGTTCTGTCGTCCACCGCCCGCACGATCGAGTTTACCTCGGATTGGATGGCAATGTGTGTGTGTGTGCCACAATTTACCGTGCATGGCCTGATGGCATTGCAGAGATGCACCAAGCCACACTTGCGGCCACAGATCTCAGCGCCGTCCATGGTCCTCCGCACAGGAAGTTGCTGCTCACTACGATGGGATGGAACCGGGGAACTGCGGGTATTATAACTTCATATCAGGCCATTCTCAAAAGGGGTCTTCATATTAGCCATCCCTGTTGTGGACCTTCCATACTTTGGCCTCCCCACACACGCACAAAACAAACACCAGCACCGGCACATAAATGCCTAGTTTCCTTAAGACCTTCTCAGCGTCAGAGGTTTCCGCAAACTTGATGAAGCCTGGGGCTCTCCACCAGAAGGTTTAATACCACTTGAAATAGATGGGGGGTCACAACTGATGAACAGGGGTTACAACCCTGATATGGAACCATATTATGGTACATGAGTGGTTGTCCAGTCCAAGTAGGTGTACACCGAAAACCAAGTGAATTGTTTTCATTGCTGTGTAGCCATGGTTCACCCGATCATCTATCCACAAACTTGTTAGCAGATTGCAGTTGGATTTCACCATTACTTTTCCTAACGGCAAGTGCAGGATTGAGGTGCAGCTGTCCAGGATCAAATTTGGATGAGCATTGTCTGGGTGTCTGCAGTGCAACCAGGCTGCCATAGCCTTTTGACTTCCCAGTCATGTTGTCTTTGATGATTTGAATCTGAGCTCACGCATGACACCAACATGCCATTGACACGATTTGTCTAAACCATTGGTCGTGGTGCAGAGGAGCACGAAATGACTAAGAGCCATGCATTGAGGATCTCTCCATATCTTCCAAATTTCTCTTGGATGTCACCTGGCAACACTTCCCACATGCACATCCCACACGCAAGAACTGTTCTGGAAATCTAGCGCTTTGTACTTCCTCATACGCTAGCAACTTCTGGATACATGGCAAGAGAAAACATCACATCACCTCATTCCTCAAAAGTTACCTCCGTAAAACATCTCAATATGTTTCCATGTGCGTAATAATGCAATATGTTGGTCAGTCACCTTGCATCGGCAGACAGCCTGGCCTTCTTCAGCTTCAAAGGCTAACCTCACAGGGTTACATACATGGCATTTGAATCAGACACAAAAGCAGCCAAAAAAAAGTTGCCATTGATGTCATGGATCGGAACGTCTGTCCCCTTGGTTTGCACCCAGTGAAAGAAACTGCAATGGTTCATCAGCAAACGACACTGCTCAAAGCTTAGAGATGGTATGAAAAAGCCAGACGGGTAGATACAAAACAACAGTGATATGAGCTTGGCTTATATGGTGATTCAGCGCCAATCACAGCGATCTTGTACAAGAGTGGTTTTGGCTACCATTATAAACATTGGTCATAAGAAGCACCCGAGAAGAAATTGCAACCACCTTGGAGGCCAAGATACTGCCCAATGAAAAGCTTGTTCGGCTCCCCTCTCTCCCCTCTGCCTGAAGAAGCATACGATCGGGGTGAATGGCAAAAGCAAGCTGCCAAATTCACTGACAAATACAAAACAACTTAAACAACTTAAACAACTTAAACAACTTAAACAACTTACAACTGTTCCTTTCTGTTCCTTTCACTCGCTTGCACTTGCAGCCACCAGAGAACACGCCTCCACGATCTCCACCATCCTTGTGCTGGTCAGCAGTGTCACATCATGCAAAAAAAAGTACATAGTACGAAACATAGTTCACTGCGGCATCATGTTTGAGGCTTTGACATCATCACGAGGCCTGAATTTCGCAACTTGCCAAAAATTGAGATCAAACAGCGGAACACTCAAAACAAAACATTTGAGGAACACTCAAACCTCAAAACGGTTTCCGATTTGAAGTGTCTTGAACTAGACAAGACCAAAAGTTACATCAGCATCTGGAAAGCTTATTTGTTTGTAGCCCAGCATGGCCTTGTCTCCTCGTCTTCCCCCATCTTCAAAACACAGGGTGCATTCACTTGAGCCAAAAGATCACAAAGAACATCAATGAGTGATTTGATACTTGATCAAATCTTATGTGTACTGTGTACCAAACAACAGGTCAATGACTGACCTGAATTGCATGCGGTAGCGTTGTTTTGAGTGGAAACAAATCAATTTTTAGTGTTTCTAAAATTCTGCCATGTCTGACAATCGCGCAAAATTAATCTTGAGAAGCCGCTGAATTGGGAACCATCCCAAATTTGGGCTTCAAAACTAAGTCATGCAACATCTCAAAGAATAAATAGACAACACACATCACAAAATTGAACACTCCAAAACCAAAATAGAACCAAATCAGTTGGCTGAATTGGTTGGGAGGAAATCAATGACAGCTGGAGTCCTCCTCTGGCTGGCCTTTGATGAACTGCATCAACAGACGCTTGTTCAGGACGAGGTACTGCCGGTGATGGTCTTGAGACAAAGGAGCATGCTGCAGAGCTGCAGAATTGAGGCGGCAGTGGCAACCTCAAATGAGATACCTTCACCAAGTTCTACCCACAGATCGTAATAAGTTTTTCAGGTGTACAAGTTCTTCTTTGATCCAGACCCGCCATGACATGTTCAAAGCAAGGGCCTTGCAGTGTGTAGTTGCAGTCACCTTGTTGTATGTCGAATGCTGGATCCAGATAAGTAATTCCAAACATCCCAAACTTTTGAAAACAACCTGTCGTGTAAATAGCACAAAGTTCAAAGGAGCTTTGCCAACCAAATGCGTTCAATTCGATGCAGACTGGGAGGTCGGACTGCGCCCTGACTCACTGGGGTGAAGTCTTTGTTCCTGATGGCTTTGCTTCAGAACACAACGCGCCTTTGTATGCGGTATGTACCTATATATGATATATGCATACATATGTATATCACCGGGTACTTCTCGTCCCTGAAGTTCAGAAGGGAAAAACACTTGCTGCATCAGTGATTAGTTAGCAAAGGATCTGGTATATGAACTTCTATATCAGATGTGAACACAACTTTGGGTCACTACCAACTGGATCAACTGGGCTCCGAACAGATTCACCATTGAAGTTCCAGACCTCTGCTGCTCAAGGCATTACAGCATCATGCCGAGTTGAGCTTGAGCTCAAAGCTTGAGTTCCCCACTCGTAGTGAACTGTCCCTTCACCTCAAGCAACGCGTCGAGGCAGGCAAGCAAAACGGTTTTTTTGTTATGCCTGCTGATCATGCAATTTAGATTCATGTTTTTCCATCAGGGTGTCATAGCAACTGGATCTTTGGCGTATCTTTGGCATATCTCTGGCATATCGTTGGCATATCTCTGGCATATTTGGCAAGTGTTTTTGTCATTTCGGGACTTGATCTCAGTCGGGCACCTCGCTGCTGCTTTGCCTTTCCTGCCACTACGAAGAGCAGATTCTTGTGGCTTTGCCGAGCTGACAAGAGCTCCTGCAGTATGAATCCCGAATGAAAAACATCCCAGCATTGATGCCATGGAGCATCTTATATTTATACACATCTACTTAATTATGTATACTGTATATAATATATATATGTGTTATGTGTATATATATATATATATGTTATGTGTATATATATATACATATCCGCCGACCCCGGCAGACGCAAGGGGGAGCGCGCCAGGGAATAAGACATTGCGACTACTACTATACTACTGCAGCTACAGTAGATAGAAACAGCAGCAGCAGCAGCAGCACAACAACCACAACAACAACAACAACGACAACAACAACAACAACAAGAAGAACAACAACAACAACAACAATGACCCTTTGCCGGGGGACCCTGTTGGGTCCCCCTCCCACCGGTCACGTACGTCGATTCATTGACTCCGGGGTTTTTGTTTTACCGGTGGGGGGGTCCTTCCCGGAGTCTCCTCGAGGTACGTGGGGCTCCTTGGGTTGCCCTTCCCGCTCTGATTTGTTCGTTCGAGGCCGCATCCTCGAGGTTCTATGTCTCATTGTACAAACAGTGGTATCCGCCGACCCCGGCAGACGCAAGGGGGAGTGCGTAAGGGAAAAAGAGTTTATGACACAGCTGCCAGGAAAGAATAATAATAATTCGCTGACCCCGGCCGATGCAAGGGGGAGCGACAACAACAACCATGTGCCACCTCTGCTGTGCTCTCGATAGTCCATAAGCTTCAGGGTTAGGCTGCAATTTTCTTAGATCAAGTCGTGTCTTTGGTACCGGAGCATACTACTTGCCAACATTTTGTTCCACATCTTTTCCCGTTTCGTTTTTTGTGCGCTACCCGTATGCGGCCAAAGCGTTTCGTGCTTTGCACTTCTGTTAAACATGCTGGACACTGATGTGTGAAAAAGCTCTGAATCACTGTGCCACCGCGAACACGGAAGCGGACACCACAATGCTGTTGTTTCGCATCAACTTGTCCATCAGTGACAGTACTACGGACCTGTGTCTCACAATGAGGACATATATATTCATAGACCGGCTTTCTCTGCGAGATAGTGGGCCCTGCTGTATTTTCAACGCATTTTTCAACAGGAATCGTGGTGCGACTACGTTTCCGAGCAATTGCTTCCCATGTCTCCTGGATAATTTGCCTGTGGCGCAATCTTTTCCGGAGAGGTTCGAGGCGAGCTGCACTGGAAGCAGCTGCGCGCTTGCGGACTGCACGCTGCACCTTCGCAGCGTGGCATGTGTTGCATGTCTGCGTTCCATCCTCCTTTCTAGAGGGCCGCCGGGAAATAAAGCTAGAAAAGTGGTGCCGCGACTAGGATTTCAGACGACACGTTAGGGAGTTTTTTGGCGTGGTTCTGGACCTTGCTCGTCCTTCAGAGCGATGGTGTTTTGCTGCCGGGAGCTGCTTTTTTCGAAGCTGTTTTACCGGCATCAGCAGCAGCAGCCGCCGCCACCAGTTCTGCGAGCAGCCGCAGGCAACAGAATCTGTCGACAAATGCTGTTGTTCTAGATTTCCAGACGACACGTTAGGGAGTTTTTTCGCGTGGTTTTGGACCTTGCTCGTCCTTCTGAGCCATGGTGTTTTGCTGCCGGGAGCTGCTTTTTTCGAAGCTGTTTTACCGGCATCAGCAGCAGCAGCCGCCGCCACCAGTTCTGCGAGCAGCCGCAGGCAACAGAATCTGTCGACAAATGCTGTTTTTCTAGATTTCCAGACGACACGTTAGGGAGTTTTTTCGCGTGGTTTTGGACCTTGCTCGTCCTTCCGAGCCATGGTGTTTTGCTGCCGGGAGCTGCTTTTTTCGAAGCTGTTTTACCGGCATCAGCAGCAGCAGCCGCCGCCACCAGTTCTGCGAGCAGCCGCAGGCAACAGAATCTGTCGACAAATGCTGTTTTTCTACATTTCCAGACGACACGTTAGGGAGTTTTTTCGCGTGGTTTTGGACCTTGCTCGTCCTTCCGAGCCATGGTGTTTTGCTGCCGGGAGCTGCTTTTTTCGAAGCTGTTTTACCGGCATCAGCAGCAGCAGCTGCCGCCACCAGTTCTGCGAGCAGCCGCAGGCAACGCAGGCAACAGAATCTTTCGACCTTGCTCGTCCTTCAGAGCCATGGTGTTTTGCTGCCGGGGGCTGCTTTTTTCGAAGCTGTTTTACCGGCATCAGCAGCAGCAGCCGCAGGCAACAGAATCTCTCGACAAATGCTGTTTTTCTAGATTTTTCTAGATTACCAGACGACACGTTAGGGAGTTTTTTCGCGTGGTTTTGGACCTTGCTCGTCCTTCCGAGCCATGGTGTTTTGCTGCCGGGAGCTGCTTTTTTCGAAGCTGTTTTACCGGCATCAGCAGCAGCAGCCGCCGCCACCAGTTCTGCGAGCAGCCGCAGGTAACAGAATCTTTCGACCTTGCTCGTCCTTCAGAGCTATGGTGTTTTGCTGCCGGGGGCTGCTTTTTTCGAAGCTGTTTTACCGGCATCAGCAGCAGCAACCGTCGCCACCAGTCCTGCGAGCAGCCGCAGGCAACAGAATCTCTTGACAATCTCTCGACAATGTGCTGTTTTTCTAGGATTTCAGAAGACACGTTAGGGAGTTTTTTGGCGTGGTTCTGGACCTTGCTCGTCCTTCAGAGCCATGGTGTTTTGCTGCCGGGAGCTGCTTTTTTCGAAGCTGTTTTACCGGCATCAGCAGCAGCAGCAGCCGCCGCCATCAGTTCTGCGAGCAGCCGCAGGCAACAGAATCTGTCGACAAATGCTGTTTTTCTAGATTTCCAGACGACACGTTAGGGAGTTTTTTCGCGTGGTTTTGGACCTTGCTCGTCCTTCCGAGCCATGGTGTTTTGCTGCCGGGAGCTGCTTTTTTCGAAGCTGTTTTACCGGCATCAGCAGCAGCAGCCGCCGCCACCAGTTCTGCGAGCAGCCGCAAGCAACAGAATCTTTCGACCTTGCTCGTCCTTCAGAGCCATGGTGTTTTGCTGCCGGGGGCTGCTTTTTTCGAAGCTGTTTTACCGGCATCAGCAGCAGCAGCCGCAGGCAACAGAATCTCTCGACAAATGCTGTTTTTCTAGATTTTTCTAGATTTCCAGACGACACGTTAGGGAGTTTTTTCGCGTGGTTTTGGACCTTGCTCGTCCTTCCGAGCCATGGTGTTTTGCTGCCGGGAGCTGCTTTTTTCGAAGCTGTTTTACCGGCATCAGCAGCAGCAGCCGCCGCCACCAGTTCTGCGAGCAGCCGCAGGTAACAGAATCTTTCGACCTTGCTCGTCCTTCAGAGCTATGGTGTTTTGCTGCCGGGGGCTGCTTTTTTCGAAGCTGTTTTACCGGCATCAGCAGCAGCAACCGTCGCCACCAGTCCTGCGAGCAGCCGCAGGCAACAGAATCTCTTGACAATCTCTCGACAATGTGCTGTTTTTCTAGGATTTCAGACGACACGTTAGGGAGTTTTTTGGCGTGGTTCTGGACCTTGCTCGTCCTTCAGAGCCATGGTGTTTTGCTGCTGGGAGCTGCTTTTTTCGAAGCTGTTTTACCGGCATCAGCAGCAGCAGCCGCCGCCACCAGTTCTGCGAGCAGCCGCAGGCAACAGAATCTGTCGACAAATGCTGTTTTTCTAGATTTCCAGACGACACGTTAGGGAGTTTTTTGGCGTGGTTCTGGACCTTGCTCGTCCTTCAGAGCCATGGTGTTTTGCTGCCGGGAGCTGCTTTTTTCAAAGCTGGTTTACTGGCATCAGCAGCAGCAGCCGCCGCCACCAGTCGTGCGAGCAGCCGTAGGCGACAGAATCTCTCGACAATCGACAAATGCTGTTTTTCTATGCTGTTTCTATGCTGTTTTTTGGCTGTTTTTCTAGCACATTTTTTCTAGCATTTCAGACGACACGTTTGGGAGGTTTTTTGGCGTGGTTCTGGAACTTGCTCGTCCTTCGGAGCCATGGTGTTTTGCTGCCGGGAGCTGCTTTTTTCGAAGCTATTGTACCGGCATCAGCAGCAGCAGCCGCCACCTGCGAGCAGCTGCAGGCGACAGACTCTCTCGAAAAAAGCTGTTTTTCCAGGATTTCAAACGACATCAGCAGCAGCAGCCGCCGCCACCAGTTCTGCGAGCAGCCGCAGGCAACAGAATCTGTCGACAAATGCTGTTTTTCTAGATTTCCAGACGACACGTTAGGGAGTTTTTTCGCGTGGTTTTGGACCTTGCTCGTCCTTCCGAGCCATGGTGTTTTGCTGCCGGGAGCTGCTTTTTTCGAAGCTGTTTTACCGGCATCAGCAGCAGCAGCCGCCGCCACCAGTTCTGCGAGCAGCCGCAGGCAACAGAATCTGTCGACAAATGCTGTTTTTCTAGATTTCCAGACGACACGTTAGGGAGTTTTTTCGCGTGGTTTTGGACCTTGCTCGTCCTTCCGAGCCATGGTGTTTTGCTGCCGGGAGCTGCTTTTTTCGAAGCTGTTTTACCGGCATCAGCAGCAGCAGCCGCCGCCACCAGTTCTGCGAGCAGCCGCAGGCAACGCAGGCAACAGAATCTTTCGACCTTGCTCGTCCTTCAGAGCCATGGTGTTTTGCTGCCGGGGGCTGCTTTTTTCGAAGCTGTTTTACCGGCATCAGCAGCAGCAGCCGCAGGCAACAGAATCTCTCGACAAATGCTGTTTTTCTAGATTTTTCTAGATTTCCAGACGACACGTTAGGGAGTTTTTTCGCGTGGTTTTGGACCTTGCTCGTCCTTCCGAGCCATGGTGTTTTGCTGCCGGGAGCTGCTTTTTCGAAGCTGTTTTACCGGCATCAGCAGCAGCAGCCGCTGCCACCAGTTCTGCGAGCAGCCGCAGGTAACAGAATCTTTCGACCTTGCTCGTCCTTCAGAGCTATGGTGTTTTGCTGCCGGGGGCTGCTTTTTTCGAAGCTGTTTTACCGGCATCAGCAGCAGCAACCGTCGCCACCAGTCCTGCGAGCAGCCGCAGGCAACAGAATCTCTTGACAATCTCTCGACAATGTGCTGTTTTTCTAGGATTTCAGACGACACGTTAGGGAGTTTTTTGGCGTGGTTCTGGACCTTGCTCGTCCTTCAGAGCCATGGTGTTTTGCTGCCGGGAGCTGCTTTTTTTCGAAGCTGTTTTACCGGCATCAGCAGCAGCAGCCGCCGCCACCAGTTCTGCGAGCAGCCGCAGGCAACAGAACCTGTCGACAAATGCTGTTTTTCTAGATTTCCAGACGACACGTTAGGGAGTTTTTTCGCGTGGTTTTGGACCTTGCTCGTCCTTCCGAGCCATGGTGTTTTGCTGCCGGGAGCTGCTTTTTTCGAAGCTGTTTTACCGGCATCAGCAGCAGCAGCCGCCGCCACCAGTTCTGCGAGCAGCCGCAGGCAACGCAGGCAACAGAATCTTTCGACCTTGCTCGTCCTTCAGAGCCATGGTGTTTTGCTGCCGGGGGCTGCTTTTTTCGAAGCTGTTTTACCGGCATCAGCAGCAGCAGCCGCAGGCAACAGAATCTCTCGACAAATGCTGTTTTTCTAGATTTTTCTAGATTTCCAGACGACACGTTAGGGAGTTTTTTCGCGTGGTTTTGGACCTTGCTCGTCCTTCCGAGCCATGGTGTTTTGCTGCCGGGAGCTGCTTTTTTCGAAGCTGTTTTACCGGCATCAGCAGCAGCAGCCGCCGCCACCACTTCTGCGAGCAGCCGCAGGTAACAGAATCTTTCGACCTTGCTCGTCCTTCAGAGCTATGGTGTTTTGCTGCCGGGGGCTGCTTTTTTCGAAGCTGTTTTACCGGCATCAGCAGCAGCAACCGTCGCCACCAGTCCTGCGAGCAGCCGCAGGCAACAGAATCTCTTGACAATCTCTCGACAATGTGCTGTTTTTCTAGGATTTCAGACGACACGTTAGGGAGTTTTTTGGCGTGGTTCTGGACCTTGCTCGTCCTTCAGAGCCATGGTGTTTTGCTGCCGGGAGCTGCTTTTTTCGAAGCTGGTTTACTGGCATCAGCAGCAGCAGCAGCCGCCGCCACCAGTCGTGCGAGCAGCCGTAGGCGACAGAATCTCTCGACAATCGACAAATGCTGTTTTTCTATGCTGTTTCTATGCTGTTTTTTTGCTGTTTTTCTAGCACATTTTTTCTAGCATTTCAGACGACACGTTTGGGAGGTTTTTTGGCGTGGTTCTGGAACTTGCTCGTCCTTCGGAGCCATGGTGTTTTGCTGCCGGGAGCTGCTTTTTTCGAAGCTATTGTACCGGCATCAGCAGCAGCAGCCTCCACCTGCGAGCAGCTGCAGGCGACAGACTCTCTCGAAAAAAGCTGTTTTTCCAGGATTTCAGACGACACGTTAGGCAGTTTTTTAGCGTGGTTCTAAAACTTGCTCGTTCTTTAGAGCCATGGTTTTTTGCTGCCGGGAGCTGCCGGCAGGTGCTTTTTTCGAAGCTATTTTCCTGCGAGTAGCTGCAGGCAACAGAATCTCTCGACAAATGCTGTTTTTCTATAGAATTTTCTCTAGAATTTCAGACGACCGGTTAGGGAGTTTTTTGGCGTGGTTCTGGAACTTGCTCGTGTTTCAGAGCCATAGTGTTTTGTTGCCGGGAACTGCTTTTTTCGAAGCTGGTTGACCGGCATCCGCAGCAGCAGCAGCCGAATACAATGACAGTACATTTACATTACACCAAATTACACTACATAACTTTACATTGCAAGGTACATACCAGCCAAAGTCCATCAAACTGCGCGGACAAAACCATGGTAAGAATGTCCAAGCGTTATGTCTGGGTTCCATTTAGTATTTCCTTCAAACCTTATTAGAGTGTCGTCTAGGGTCTCTTTAGGATGCATTTAAAGTTTCATTCAAATGGTTTCTTTAGGTCAATTTCTGGTTTCTTTAGGGTTCATTTCATTTAGGATCCAAACAGAAGAGAATAAAACAAAAGAATTAGAATTTCATGCCGAGCTTCTCTGGGATTCACTCGGGTTTCGCGTTTCTTAAAGATTTACATCTCTTAAAAGTTTTCTTTCGAGTTTCTTTAAGGTTTCTGTCGAATTTCATGCAGGGTTTGCTTTAGGAATTCTTTCAGGTCTTCCGGGGTCGGCGGCAGGGGCGGCAGCCCTTAAATATATACAGTACATATACATGTGTGTGTGCACCAGTGTGTGTTTTATTGTGTTTTTTGAATGATTTGCAAGGCAAATACAAATCTCGCAGGCTCCTGATCCGCTACACCAAAGCACTCCTCGCACCTGGGGGCTCTGGGTCGGGGCGGACTTCCCTCCAGGAACATCGGGGAACGTGGGGGAACGCCGAACATCTTGGAACGTCAACCATCCAACCAGCCATCCAGAGAAATCCCTTAAGCAACTGATGTACCGCCGCTGACATGCTGTTTGGCCCTCAGCTCTTGGCAGGAGATAGACTTTGTCCAGCTGGGCCTGGTCATATGCACCATGTGAAAGTCTTGGCACTAGTTATATACTTCCCCAAACTATTCATATGCTGCCAAATGGATCACTGCTTTGAGTATATTCAAGAGGGTAAAGTGAGGGATCCATTGAAGTCTAACAGTCTATCCAATCTATCCTGCAGATTTAATTTGATCATTTGAAGTAAAACTACCTCTTTAATACGCACTGCAGGGCCTGTGAAAAGTTCATTGCTTTCAAGGGGCTGCTCTCAATCACCTTCAGTTCTCAACTGATGACAGGGAGCATGACCTTCTGCTTGAGCAATGATGAACCCCTCAAAAGCCTTCCAAGATTGGCTGCTTCCTCGGCAACATCTAAGATTGGCACCCCTTTCCCTTTCTCCGGAGCGACATGAGCTGTACCTCAGAGGGTCTGAACCAGTAGATGGGTTGGATTATGGCATGTCATATCCCGAATCTTGTGGGCAGACACTATCCACTTGGCAAAAGACTTCCGCGTTTCTCCTGTATAATGTCCAGCCCCAACCAAATATATCGTTACATGCGGACGGACAGACAGACAGACAGACGGATAGATAGACAGACAGACAGACAGACAGATAGAAGTGGGGTTCTTTAGGGAGGTAACCAGGAGTTCATTAGTATTATACAAATTATACCATATATATTTTTTGTCACACCATTGAGAGCAGTTTTTTTCGTTCGATGCCGCCATCTTCAGTCATGGACTCTTCAACTTATCGCGAGGTCGGCCACCTTCGGCTTGAAACAGCTTCTGCACCACATCCTGGTGACTGTCAAGTGACAAGTGACACAACGTGGGCTGGAAAGAAATCTTGCCGCTTTTGACAACCGTTGTGTCACAGCTATGAGATCTTTGCATCTGAAGAATTTGGCCACATCTCACATGTCTCTACTTGACTCTTCCACTAGTCTCACTAGTCACTAGGAAGCAAGGACACGCAAGTCTCATCCTCACTAGTCACTAGGAAGCAAGGACACGCAAGTCTCATCTTTGCTCAAAACAAACACATTCCGTTCCATTTTGTCTGGCGAGGGGCCTTGTCCCCCACCAGGTAGAGGCAAGAGGATCCACCGGCCTCGTGCGTGGTTCAGTTGGCTCGACACTACACAAATCAAAACTGTCTTTGCAACCACTGATAGATCTGATAGAGCCAACCCCGAAGAACAAAGTGAAAGACTTGCAAGTCCTGCAGCAGTTGCAGTGGACTGCACATTGTGGACACTCTCTCTCTCTCTCTCACATATCAAAAACTATGGTTGGTGTGACATTGAGTCTGTTCATACACATGGAGCCTGTTTATGGTTTGCACCCTTGCTTCCTGTTAGAGACTACCAGGATCTACCGCGAATGTTCCATCTGAAAAACATCAGCTGGATCCGCATCCACATGTGACCGCCACATCCAGCACCCTCAGCCATTGCACCTTGATCTCACAGTTGGAGGACTGAACCAATCCCAGCGACTGCGTTTCACCATACGTGTCACCTGCACAGGTCACATTTGAGACACCGACACCGCAAGTGGAGGCTCAACCCCTCTTCCCTTCCCCAAGCCCAGCGTTGCTTCATTTTGAAACAATTTTGGTCTAAAAATGTTTAAAGTTTCAGGCCGCATTGTGTCTTTGAATCTGGCCAATGCTGTGTGACCCTTTCCTCCCAGTGATCACCTTCATTCAGTTCGCGAATCACGAGGTCGCTGAGAAAGACCGAAGCTTTGCCTTTCCAAGGCCGTGCAGTTTCTTGCTATGTGAGCGTTCCGAGAATTCACACCGGCCCATGAATGTCAAATGGATCTCACAGCCAGTCGTGATTTGTGCCTTGCAGAATCGACACGAAAAACTTATCGTTTTTGCTCTTGATCAGCTCCTCCTGGAGAGCACGGGGAATAGCCGCAGCAAGGTTCAAAACGATCAACATCCTGCCTTCCGGGCCACGCGAACCTGGTGCTGAAGGACTTGAGAAAGGATGGACAAATCATATCTCTCAGACTGACACTCCCAAACCAACAAAGGCTGAATCTGCGACCATAAATATCCAGGAATAACAATTGTAATATTTTTTTGTTCATGGTTTCTAGCATTTTTTACCTGATTCTACCTCCTCACCTGTTGTTCCCCCGAAACAAAAATCGTTCCCCCAGCGATTCCACCTGCATCTGCTCGGCCAGGCCCTTGATGAAGCTATCCCCCAGCAGAGCCAGCAGTGGAACTTCTTGGAGGATCTCCTCGTTGCTGATCTCTGCCAGCTCCTCAGATCCCCAAAAGCACTTGGCCAAGAAACGGCCACAGATTCCGTATTGTGTGTATCTGTATGTGTGTACATACATATACTGTATAATACATTACATTACCTTACAACACATTACAACACATACACATACACATACACATACCCATACCCATACCCATACCCATACCCATGTACATATATATATATGTGTGTGTGTGTGTTTGCATGCATGCATGCATGCATGCATGCATGCATGCATGGATGGATGGATGGATGGATGGATGGATGGATGGATGGATGTATGTATGTATGTATGTATGTATGTATGTATGTATGTATGTATGTACGTACACATACGTATATATACTTGATGGTAGCTAGTTTGATTATATAAATATATATATATACATATGTGAAATATTTAGTTTGTTATCGTTATAGTAGCTATTTTGGAACCAAACAGTTGGCTGATTTCCGATTTCCAACGATGTAACCCATATGAGACCACAATGGGATGGGCTGATGCATTGACCTTTTGGATATCCTTTTGGGGTGGGCCGGAACGAGGTAGAAACGGGGATGCGAACCTTGAGATATGATGTGTCACCACCCAGCAGAATACAACAAGTCGCCTCTCGCATCATTGTCGCCACAACTTGGAACAGCTGCCTTGGTGAGGTTTCTCACATTCAGTACTCTCATATCCCTCAACCAAGAGATCATTTTAGCGCGCAGAAACCAGGACATCATATCCTTGGTAGAAGCACAACAGATATGGGAAGTCTATATATCTGGCCCGACCCTGAGGCCTTGACACCTTGTCCTGTGGGAAGTCCTCCAAAATGGTTTCCAAATCCTTGGCCCAGTGATCGGTTCAGCAGCCATTGACCAAGGGTAGATGTAAACTATCTGAGTTGTCCGTGGAAAAAATGGATCCACTGATGTCCACAGTGTGTTTCTAAATCGCCAGGTCTCATAGGAGTTCAAGTACTGCAAGTCGCACATGCGTTCTGCCTATCAAACGCCAGGAGTTTCGACTTTTCTCTACGGAGTTTCAACGGCTTCAGGCCTTGATGGTCACGGATTGCCCACTGGTGAGGCCCAAGACAGCCATTTCACCAAAGGCAGAGCCTTCCAATAAATTGCTGATGCGTCGTCCATCCTTCTCTACCTGAGAGAGCCATGAAAATTGGTAAACAATGGCAAACATATCAAACCATTGAGCTATGATGGGTTGATAATGGTTGATGTGGTTGATCATTCTCCCAAGTTCCATGGGGCCCGAAGAAAACACACATTGGAATGTCCAGAGTGCGGAGTGGGATCCAGCTGAACCTCTGCACCTGACTCCACCTCTGTGCACGCCGAAACACGAAAGCTTCTCCCTGTGCAATGGCATACATTTCCTTGCAACAGGTGGCTTCAGCATTTATGAAATGACATCAATATTGATGAAATTGCAATGAAGTCTATTATATATATAATGTATATATATATTGCCAAAGCAGGGGACTGTCCTGACTCTCTGCGCCTTCCTCCACAATGATTTGTCCAGGGAAGATGATCTTCCGCTGCAATTGCTTGCCTTGACAGTTTACATATATGAATATACATATATAGCATTGTATAGTTTATTTCTGTACTTATATAGTCTATAATATATATATATATATATGTATATATACATATATTTATATGGTCTATAATATATATATATATAGTCTACAAATATATATATATATATGTTTATTTATTTGTTTATTTATTTATTTATTTAGTCTACAATATACATAGTCCATCATAGATATGTATATGAATAGTATACTGCATTATAATATATATATATATATTATATATATATTATATTTATATATTATATTTATATATTATATTTATATATTATATTTATATATTATATATATATTATATTTATATCGATCCAGGACAGAACTGTCACAAGATACGTCTCCAGCTGCAAGGCTGGCATGCTGGCATGGTCTGAGCTCGTTGCAAAGCTCCTCCAAGAAAGCTGCACTGCTCTCCTGAAAGAGCACCTGAGATAGGCTGCAGATTATTTTCCTCATGAAACCCATAATTTCCCGCTCCTCAAGGGCCACGCCTGCTGCTGGAAAAGTGCATTTTTGGAGACACCGCTCTTGGCGAGGCGAGATGCACCCACCTGTCTGGAATCTCCGCCCCCAAAACGAAACAAGTCAGCCAAGTCAGCAGGACCGTCAGCTTAGTGGGCAAGGCTGTCTTCATTGAATTCCTCAATGTCCTATTGTCCAGGCCCCAGTGAAAGAGCCAACTCTGGGCCTCCTGGAAAGTGGCAATCTCTCGCGGGAATTCATTCAGGTACCTCGCACCCAGGTGAGGGTCCAAACATGGAGGATACGTCCAACAGCAGAAACTTGCGGATTTTGGGGGTCACACCAGTCACAGCAAAATTTATGATAGGCCCAAGGTGGTCAGGTGGTCACTTCATCAAGATGGGTCGGTGAAGGACTTGCACCAAACACACCTGGCTGCAACAGAGTTCTCGGTGGACCATGGACGTGTAACGATGAGCCTTCTGGGCCCGGAGGGTGGCGGTGCGATGGTTTGCCAAGCCCAATACCTGCAGCAAACACAACAGAAATCCTGAAGACTGACAGAGAATTAAGAGCTCGAAAGTGAGTGACCAAACAACATTTTCTGAGTTGTTTTGGCCCACAATGGCATTTTTTCGACAGGGCTGATCCTCATCCTCCAATAATAAAAACGAATTTCCCGTGGTTACAAAATCCGCCCACACCGCTTTGGCGGTGAAGGCGTGCTTATTGGGGGGCAAAACAGCAACACTAAATGCTCAATGACATTTGTTAATATAGCAGTCGCTATATCAGCTTTAGCTGGGGGGGGGGGCCAAAAACGGTTTCGCACCGAGACCAGAATACGGTGGTGTTTTCGACATTTTTCGAGGATTTTTGGGTGTCTGAGCGCAAGAGGGTATTGAAATGGAATTTTGGGTCATTTTGGTAGCTTTCCGGCAATGGAAAAACGGCCAAAAATGAAAAAAAACATTGTACATAGCAAGATTTTGCAGGGTTTTTGGATGCCAGAGCATTGAAAACACTGCAAAAACAAGTGTTTTGGACTGACGTTATAGCAAAAAACGTGTAAATTACCGTATGCTTGACTGGAAACATTACAAAAACACTGTCAAAAGCAATGTTTTGGAAGGATTTACTGCCTTTATGGCAAAAAACGTGTAAATTACCGTCTGTTTGACTGGAAACATTGGAAAAACACTGCCAAAAACAATGTTTTGGAAGGATTTCTTATATATATGTTGGAGTTGGCTACCGGCATTGGAACATGGAAAAATTGAAGAAAACACTGTAAATAGCGGTATTTTCAACGGTTGGGGAGATAAGGGAATTGGAAGCATTGTCGAACATGATGTTTTCGACCGGTTTTATGGCGACAAAAGTGTAAAGTACCGTGCTTTGAAGGAAACCATTGCAAAAACATGGAAACACATTCAAAGAACACGGGATTTGGGGGACTATCTAGGCGTCGTTGTCTAGCTATTTGAAATTCCGCAGCTTGGAGAGCCTCCAAGGGAGGGAAAAGTGAAAATTCCATAGCTTGGGAAGCTGTCACGGCGGGGAAAAGTGAAAATTCCCTAGCTTGGGAAGCCCCCACGGGGGGGAAAAGTGAAAATTCCCTAGCTTGGGGAGCCCCCACGGGGGGGAAAAGTGAAAATTCCCTAGCTTGGGGAGCCCCCACGGGGGGGAAAAGTGAAAATTCCCTAGCTTGGGGAGCCCCCACGGGGGGGAAAAGTGAAAATTCCCTAGCTTGGGGAGCCCCCACGGGGGGGGAAAGTTAAAATTCTTAGCTTGGGGAGCCCCCACGGGGGAAAACCACGCTTAGCCCCTCTCACGGACCTAAATAAACCTGCGGTGTGGGCGGCCACCCCACGCGAAGCGGGGTGAATAATATACTGTACTAGCATTTACCCGTCACATTGAAAAGCTGCAAAGACCACAGCTTCAACTCCAAAATCTCCAAACAATAGTTTCCCATCCTGGCTGTTCCTACAGGATCTGCAAAGGCACGGCAATTTCGCCAATCACACTTCCGGCAGGGAGCTCATTCACCTTGACGTTGGCCCCCTGGTGTCAAGGCAGAATGGCTTCGCAAAAACCAGGATTTAGAAATTTAGACCAAACACTGACCCCCATGAAATGCGACTGAATTATTCTTCTTTTTGCCTCTACTAGTTGCATTTTGAAAGTTTTGAAAAACCATAATTTATGCTGTTCGATGTCGGTCTTCCGCCACGCGAGGGGGTGCAACCCAAAGACATCATCCTAGCATCAAACCATCAAATTTGCACTAGCCGTCACTTTACATCACTTCACTTGTATTCATGGGGACCCCCTCCCACTTCCAACTGCTGGTCCTCCTTCCAGACCAAAACATCCAGAACGCCCTCGGCCCAAATTTCAAATGATGGGGATAGAAAGAATCGGAAGCACCAAGGGAGGTTGTGTCTCGCCTTGGGAATTCAGCACTGTCTGAAAATCGATCTGGTGATTATTTTGGGATGTTGCGGATGTGCCTTTGAGACCAATTGGGATGGGTTCAGAAGCGGTCAACATTCCTAAACAATCTGCCCACTGGGGGCCCACCCAACCAACCCATCAGCAACAGGTGGAGCCAAGGAAGCCAGGCCTTCACGAGAATGAACATTGTATCACCCTTTTCGCCCTGCTTGCAAAGATCCTGTCACAGACAAATCTCCCAAAGTTGAGAATCCTTTGAATCTCTTCATGGCTCTACCAGGAAAACTAGAAGAGTTCGGGAGTCCAAAATCTTTGGACATCCTTACTGAGAAAAGCTTCACCATTCTGACACAAGACTTCACCGCAAGAAGTGCTCAGTCGCAGGAAAAGATGCCACTCAGGCCGCGAGTCCTCACCCTCCATGAAGAGGCTGTCCTACCAAAAATGTGAATAGAATCAATGAATCATCAAGAATACAATCATAATACAATCATGGTACGAGTGGAATAATCATGGATCGTTGTTATAGTTTTCATCAAGTCATGAATAAGAAAATTCAACATCTTTGCCTATCCAAGTAAAGCATAGTAAAGCGTCCTCCATGTGCTCTGAAATCCGATCCAGAAATTTCCTGCGACAGCTGGGGGCCGTCAGGCAACTCTGGAGGATCAAAGATCAAATCCTGCCTGCTGCTCTGCTGGAAGAGAGGGCAATGGAGCAGGATGTGCTTCTCCGAATTGCGCTCCACATCACTGCAGCACAGCGTAGCATAGCGTCGGCTCGACCGAAAAAAGAATCCTGACTCAATTGGGCTCAGTAACTACTCAACTACTCAGCCTGCGCATTCGAACCGTAGCCAGCTTCCGCAAAGCTTCCTGCATTGAGCACACGGTTTTTTCAAACAATTTCTGGGCTATCGCTGTCTCGGTTTCTGGGTTTCTCTTCGACCTGAGCTGTGGGATGGAGTCCCAACCTCAGACCCAATGCGCAGCAAAAACTTCGAAGTTTTGTGTTGAAAGCCAGGAAATTTGGTTCCACTCGAGAACCCAAGCGCAAGGCAGGTGGTGAAGTGCTTCCTGACATGTGGAAAAAGGTGAACATGTCCACAGCAACCTTCATTTAATTGAAGAAGAATCTGATTATTTGGAACTAAACCTGAACAAATCAAAATGCTGCTACATCGCGTACAACTGTCAAGGACAAATTCGTTTCCAAAATGGAGAGCCCATGAAATCTTCAGAGCAGACCAAATATTTGGGAGCGTCCGTCACGCAGCACATTGACCCTAAACATGAAATCAGAAAGAGAATCTCTGCTACAATGGCCATACTCAAAAAATTGGACATCTTTTGGATAAAAACACATTGCAGCAAGAAATGGAAACTACTCGTTTTCAACGCCGTCATCACTTCTAAAGTCCTTTATGGCTTGGAAACTTTGGAGCCCACGGAAGCAGCTGGAAGGCTATTAAACACGTTCCAACTAAAGGGTTTGCGAAAAAAATTGAAACTACACACCACGTTCGTGCAGCGCAACAATTCCAATGAATATGTGTGTAGAAGAGCCAATGAAACTCTCAACGCGCCATCAGAAGGACCTGGGAGACAAATCAAGCCACAAACGAAATTCTGGAAGACAGAAAACTGAAACTTCTTGGGCATGTCTTGAGAAGGGATAGGCAACATCCACTACACCAAGCTGCGTTCTCCACAAGATCCGCGCTCCCACGGGAAACCGAACACAGAGGACGAGGCCGCCCACAACAATTCTGGACAACTAACAATATGAGTAAAGCATGGGAAGTGATTAAGACGCATGATGCTACACAACCGCAAATACCATTCGACAAGAACAACCGATCGATGCGTGAGAGGATTATTGAACAAGCGCAGCGATACCAACCCCCATTCAACAAAGGAAACCCAATATGAAACATTCAATGTGAAAATTGTGCTCAGTGTGACACCTTTACTCAGTGTGAACCTTTTGCTCAGTGTGACACCTTCACTCAGTGTGAAACTTTTGCTCAGTGTGACACCTTCACTCAGTGTGAAACTTTTGCTCAGTGTGAAGTTTTTGCTACATGGGAAGATATCGTTTCAATAATACACCACCAAGCAGTGAGCGAGGCCCTAGGTTCTTGATAGTAGGTAGGAAGCGGGTTAGTGCCTACGACTTGTGGCAATGTCCATGCTATAGGTTATGGCCAAAAAAAAAATGTCCACAGCAAGGTGTGATGAGTCAAGCACGCATTCAACATCATGAAGAAGTGAGATATTACCTAACACTATCACATACTGTACCAGTTAGTATAAGCATGACAACTCCTGACCATGGTTTATGATATTCTCAATCAACAGGATACCCATTAGGGTGATCACCCACGTGCGAGTCCGGCCCCCCTTACCTTGGCGAGCACGTACACATCACAAATGTCCTGGCGATTGCTGAAATCTTAAGAGCTGCAGCTGGATGCAGCTGACCTTCGGCAAAAACAACAGTCCTTGCAGCGAATGGATGCTGTTCTTGTCTTGGAAGTACCTTGGCAGAAAGCGTCTGAGACTGGAAAAAAAATGCCTACACCCCATTGAGTTGTGGTCCCACTATGAGGTGCGGACCCAAAGCACCAAGCTCACCAAACACGTCCCCAGAACCTTCGCCAACAGCCAATGGAAATACTTGGAAAGTGGAAAACAGAACAGAAATGGGTGAATGCTGATCAAACTTGATATCACCCCGGTGAAACCTCCATTCCGTCAAGAACTACCCATGGGCACGGCACAAGTGTCCAAATCAAATTCTTCCGAATTTGTTCGTGGTTTGAGAGCTTGAACAGTCTGCGAATGCTGGTCATTTAGCTGCCTAAATGACAAATACGAATGCCCATTCTGCAGCACTTCCAAAGCTCCCAGGCCTAAATGACAAATACGATGCCCATTCTGCAGCACTTCCAAAGCTCCCAGGGAGATCCTGTCACTTGGCACAACAGCAGCTAAAAATGAAATTCTAGGTGGTGGTTTAAATCAAGTTTCATAGTTGCGTTTGCTTTGTTCAGGGTAACCTGCTGGGGCACCCTTTGAGCTGTCTTTCAAAGTCGGAACGGAAACATATTGGCAGCTCAAGGACAGCCAGGACGACATGAAGAGGCTGTCACCCGGCTCCCCTTGGGTCAAAATCTCATCACCCTTGAAGAAGATCTTAGCACACAAGGAACGTAACTGGAACTGGCTATGTCTGCTGTTGAGGAAACACAGCTGACCACCCGGTGCTCGAAAATCTTCAGGTGATTGCAACAAAAACAATTCTCAAACATCTTGGGATTCTAAGTCCTTCTGAGCAAATGCCACTCAAAAGAGATCTCGCTTTGAAAACTCAGCGTCCTCAAATTTCAGACCGAAACGGCACAACGCTGGGCGACGGACCCAGCGGGTCATCAGCTGCTCCAAGAGATTTGTCATAGCTTTGGAGGAGCTGACCCTGAGCTCGCCCACTTTTCTGAACCTAGAAATATAGATATGGGCCAACAGTTACAGTATATAGTCCCCTCATATTCGTGGTTAGCTCAATACTTGAATATATCCAATATCGTCCAATATTATCCAATATCTGCGGTCCCACGAGCTTTTAAAATTGCAGGGAGAGAACTATCCAAGAGTCTCAAAGAGAGTCAGAGAGTTATGTAAAACGGGACAATCTTGTCGACATGAGCACCGAGCCATTCGAACATCTGCAGCTCCCTTGGGGCATGCCTCGGAATTTCAGCGGAGCATTATTTGGCTCCAGTGCTGTAGTTCCTGTAGTTCCTGGTAGCTCCTGAGCACCTTTGCTAAATAGGAGTTGTCTGAAAATGAGGAAAGCCCCTCAAATCCACCTGCAATTTAAACATGTATTAAAATGAATCAAAATTGCCAGTTTAATAGGGGATACCACATTTTCAGACAGAAACATTTATCCTAACTGAACAGTCAACCCGCGTGAGTCTTTGGCTTCCATTCCATTCGCAAGGCCGCCACATGCCTCACCAATCGAATCTCAACAGCAACAGATCCACCAGGAAAAACACTCAATGGTCAAGGTGGCAAATTCCAAACATGAATTTCTATGAATTTCTAGCATGTTTTGAAATATACACTATGATCACTATGTTTTGACATAGTATATTTCCAAAACACCAAAAATACTATGGATACTTTGAAGTACTTTGAAGATCGAAACATCAGTATCCAGACAGTATCCAATCAGTATCCAAACAGTATTCATAGATATTCATAGTATAGTATTCACAGCATCCATGGCCTGATTTGTTGTCGCTCCTCAGGGAACCTTCCCAGCACTTCCAACAACTTCTCCTTGGGCAACTCCTGGGTACCCGATGCAATTGGAAAGTTCCAACTGCATTGACTTCGTTAGACGCCTGCATGAAGCACGTCTCGGAAGCCGTGACTGTGGCGGTTGCAGAAGGCGCGAAGCCCATGGCAACCTTGGCACCAAATTCTGCGGTCCATTTCTGCGGAATTGTTGTGGTGGTGGTGGTGGTGGTGGTGGTGGTGTCACTAAGCTGGGCATCGCTCCAGTTCGCCACAGATGTCGCCACTCTTCAGCTCAGAGACCTGTCTGGCACTCTGCAGCCGGGCAATCTCGTTTTGTTCATTTGGTCTGAGGGATGCCAACATAAAAATAGAGACAAAGAAACTGACATAAAAACGGCGCTGCTAGGAGTTAGGCAATTTACATGTATTCAGTAGTATTCGTGCCACATCTGCATTGCCCGACCAACCCAAACAGTTTCACAGTTCAAAATGGAGAGCCACCGTCTTGCCTGCAAGTTACTTCATGGGAACCAAATTGATGGATTTGTTGATGTCACCATTATATCCTAGGATTTGTTGTAGCTCATGCCAGCCTTCTTCCCGTCACAGGCCACTGTGGCAGCACCCTGGTGGATGAGGAACTTAGTGTGCGCCGCAGAACATTGCCAAACAGCTTTGTAATCCCCTTCCCGCTATATCAAATGCCTTTATAGAAATGCTTGTTTAGTATTGGATAATATTGAATTATTGGATCTATCATGATCTATTCATTTTGGAGGCCAGTTTGGCTGGTATTTCATAGGGGGGATGGGATGATCATGTCGGAAAATGTCGGCCAAGTTGACACCGTGTGCTGGGGTTCAGGCCAAGGAATTGTGCTGCGTGCCCTCGTGGCAAATGACCTGGCACAGGATCATTTCACAGTCCAAGTGCATCCCATGTGAAAATCCTTTTATATCTATGATATTCTATGATATTCTATGATATTCTATGATATTCTATGATATTCTATGATATTCTATGATTGTGTGGTGACATGATTGTGTGGTGAATTATGTAGGAAGGAAGAGCACAATCACCGCAACACATTCTGGCCTGCCCAGCTGTGAAGAGTCTGTCCTGACATAATGAAATCTAGGAATTTAGGGGTTGGACCTAAGCTGTCTCAGCAAACATCCGGTCCTGCATGTCGTCTGCAATGGCTGCCGCAAACTCGGCTTTGCAGTCTTGGAAAAAGCTGCACAAGTGGCGAACCTGGCTCCAGGAGATACGTTGCAACAAAGTGTACTTCGATGTCCATCTCGCGCACACCCTGAAGGTCTCTGTTTCCGAACATTAAATCTTATATTAGACAGATTCTACAGTAATGGCTTCGGTTGACTACAATCGAATGACCCTCCGTTTTAGCATTTTAGCACTAGGGTTTTGGCACGTCCTCCGTTTCGGCGTTCTAGAGACACTCGATTTCGAGTCGCCTCATCTGTCACAGTACTGACTACAATGAAACGTGGCGGAACTCTGAGGCAACCACAGCCAATTCCTCAAATCTTGCAAGTTCCTGCTCAGAAAAATGTCCACATCCTCTGCTGGTCTCTTCGGTATGAAAGAACATCCCCTGGAGTTTGGTTGCTTTCACTCAAGCTTTCTCCTGCGGAAATTCATTGATTGCTTCCTCCAAGGATCGCCGGGAGAGCACACGCACCTGAGTTGTGTCCCGTCTGGTCACACAATTTGACAGTAACCATCTCGCAACATGCGGCAACATGGTTGATCTATGTTGATCTTCTATTGAAGGATGGTATTCCCTGCATGGATATCACATGTTCACCTTCTGAAACTCGAGGCCCAAGCATCAGAAAGTGTGATGGCAATGATGGTGGCTGATCGTTTCTTGATCTGGATATCAAAAGAGATATCAGAAGATCTGGTCCACAGAATGGGAGTGCAGTGCACCAAATTCCGGCGCGTTCTGTTCGTCTCAGGTAAGTCTTGAGGTCAAAGCCAGTCCAAGCACGGCCATCTCTCCGAAAAACATCCTCGGCCGGGTCACACTGACAATACAAAGCCTCCATCAAAGTGGCATCACAAAAACTATGATATGCAGCTCAGAGATATAAAAAAATACAAACGTGTATGTTCCTGTGTCCTTTCGTTGACTACATATACATACTGGAAGGAAGTAGATACTACACTTCTATAATCCTACAGAACACCGGTTGTGCTATCGTCCTATCGCTGGATGCTAACAGAAACCGGACAAACATCTCCACTGACTGCAGATTTCCTCATCAACACTGTCTACTTTGAAAGCCAAGGGAGAATTCTGAGATGCCAACCCACCTTCCAAGGTTCCTACCTTGATGCCCTTGACCTTGCACCACTTGCACCACTTGCACCAGTGGAATTGGATCATCTGACATTCCATTTTCCACTCACGAAGTCACTCACCCAAGTGCTGCTGGGCAATGTCACTTGTACGTCCATGGTCCCAGAGTAGAGAATATACATGTCCTTGCAAATCATTTTCACATTTCTGATATTAAATCTCAGGAATGTGAGCGCTGGCCAAAGGCTGTTGCCCTACACTGGGTGCATTGGATCCGTCCTCGCCCTCCGTATTCTCAACAACAACCACTTCATCACCTTAGACATGGTCGCCATGTCGCTCCAAGCTTATCCTTGGAAAAGTTGGTCGCAAGTCCACGATATTGACCAATGTTGTGTGCTCTTTTTCTGACTGCACCACCTTTGTGCTGCATGTGTCTACTAATCAACCTCCCTGGGCCAACACGCAACTAATGCATGCTGCATGGGGAAGCAAGCAGGAAGTAGCTGCTTTCAAAAATTTTATAGCAACAAGCCTCATGCTTGTCGCAATACAATAATTGGGATCAAACTACCCCAAGGAAAGCATCGTCTTCTGCCAGCCATTGCTGCAGAGGAGGATGTCTAAAACTGCTGACATCAGCAGAAGGCCGGGTCAAGCACCCGTCAAGCACCACGGTTCTACAGCCATTCGCTGCGAAGAAATTCTCTGTCCTCAGAAGGGCAACACGAAATCAATCTTGGGCGTGAGCTCCCCTTGTCAGCAGAAAGGCAACTACGCAAGGGCTGTGAAATTTGAGGCTGTGGGGAAGCATCCTGAGTCTGCTTTTGACCGGAAGTAGATGCAGAAATTCCACACCAGGAAGCAAAGGATTGGAACAAACTGCCGTGGGAAGCCTTTGAGGATGACTTCGAAGACTTCGAAGATGGTTTCGGCCGGGGATTGCTGATGGCCCCAGCATCAAGAAGCATATTCACCATTGCCTCCTTGCCGAGATCTGCGGCAACCTCAAGGGGATACACCGGTTTCATCCGGATACAACGTGGCACAGAATCATCGAGATCACGAGGGCTGTTCACATCTGAGAAGCCATGCCGATCCAAGAAGGCCTTCACCAACTGATCACGATGAGTAGACTCACCAAACATCTCTTTCTTGGCACAGGATGTCCCAGGGCTTCAGGGCTCTGGGAGTCTCAATTGTGCTTCCGAGCTGTGAGCCACAGTGTTCTTGAACCAAAATGGTCAGGAACGGTTCAGCCAGGCTACTGTAGTTGCTCATGGAACCCATGCATAACTTTGCTGCTTATACATTGCAAAAAGCTAAGACGGCTCAAAGCAGGATGACAATAAGAAACAACCAAAAGGTGGTTGGCCGTAAACTGGTGTCTCCACATGTTTCACTACACAGGATGGTAGTACCATTACACCACTTATGAAGCGGATTCCATCGTAGCAAATGAAAGTCCATGGAAGCACGCAAGTCCACGATATTGACCAATGTTGTGTGCTCTTTTTCTGACTGCACCACCTTTGTGCTGCATGTGTCTACTCATCAACCTCCCTGGGCCAACACGCAACTAATGCATGCTGCATGGGGAAGCAAGCAGGAAGTAGCTGCTTTCAAAAATTTTATAGCAACAAGCCTCATGCTTGTCGCAATACAATAATTGGGATCAAACTACCCCAAGGAAAGCATCGTCTTCTGCCAGCCATTGCTGCAGAGGAGGATGTCTAAAACTGCTGACATCAGCAGAAGGCCGGGTCAAGCACCCGTCAAGCACCACGGTTCTACAGCCATTCGCTGCGAAGAAATTCTCTGTCCTCAGAAGGGCAACACGAAATCAATCTTGGGCGTGAGCTCCCCTTGTCAGCAGAAAGGCAACTACGCAAGGGCTGTGAAATTTGAGGCTGTGGGGAAGCATCCTGAGTCTGCTTTTGACCGGAAGTAGATCCAGAAATTCCACACCAGGAAGCAAAGGATTGGAACAAACTGCCGTGGGAAGCCTTTGAGGATGACTTCGAAGACTTCGAAGATGGTTTCGGCCGGGGATTGCTGATGGCCCCAGCATCAAGAAGCATATTCACCATTGCCTCCTTGCCGAGATCTGCGGCAACCTCAAGGGGATACACCGGTTTCATCCGGATACAACGTGGCACAGAATCATCGAGATCACGAGGGCTGTTCACATCTGAGAAGCCATGCCGATCCAAGAAGGCCTTCACCAACTGATCACGATGAGTAGACTCACCAAACATCTCTTTCTTGGCACAGGATGTCCCAGGGCTTCAGGGCTCTGGGAGTCTCAATTGTGCTTCCGAGCTGTGAGCCACAGTGTTCTTGAACCAAAATGGTCAGGAACGGTTCAGCCAGGCTACTGTAGTTGCTCATGGAACCCATGCATAACTTTGCTGCTTATACATTGCAAAAAGCTAAGACGGCTCAAAGCAGGATGACAATAAGAAACAACCAAAAGGTGGTTGGCCGTAAACTGGTGTCTCCACATGTTTCACTACACAGGATGGTAGTACCATTACACCACTTATGAAGCGGATTCCATCTGGGATCATCTGGGTAGCAAATGAAAGCGACACCCTTCACCGTCTTGGTCCAAGGAGCTGAAGAAGATGTGCCGCTCCAAATGCAAGTCCAACAAATATAGGAACCTTGGCACTCTGAGGACATTTCTGTGTCTGATGTTGTCTGATCGTATGTGCATATCCATTCATATCTCATATCTCTCCTGTCAGGGACTTCTCTGGCTGATTTCTTCGACTCAAACACATCATTTTGTGATATTTCTTTCTATTTCGTGCCTGCTGGAGCAGTCCTTGAAGCAAGACCTCAGGGCTTCACAGGGTTTCTGTGGGACAGCTCAAAGTGGCTCGACTGTGCAATACCGAGTGCCAGCATCCGGTAGATGTTCCAGGATGAGTCCTCGCCTTCCTGTATGGCATGTTGAACATCAATCTATTTTTGTTTATTTCAAAGATGCAAAATCAATCAAAATGGCCATCTTCGTCTTCTTCACAGGCCACCCTTCCCAAGCCTCGTGTCCTCCAGCCCTGAACCTATGACAAGAGAGCCGTGGCTGGGTGCAAAACCATATATCGCATGTACATGTAGAAAAATGTACTTCAAAATAAGTATGAATATAATTATAATTAATTAGGGGTGTGAAATAGTTTTAGGATTTTTTTTTGGAGCAGGTTTGGGAATTTTTTTTGGATTTCTTGGCTGGTACCATTTGCCTAGTGTTTGCAACGGTTTGGAATTTGAATTTGTCATTTTGCATGGTATTTGCCACATTTGGGCATGTTCACCTTCCATTTTGTATGGTATTTGCCACATTTTGGCATGTCCACCCTTCCATTTTGCATGGGATCTTCTACATGTGAGCATGTTCACCCAAATATTTACAGATGCGGAAGCTTGGGATTAGATAAAAAGCGGGTGGGGGGGATTGAGGGAGGGCACTAGCTATCTATCCAGCTAGCTAGGTATCCAGCCATCTAGCCAGCTATCTATCTAGCAAGCTAGCTATCTATCTAGCAAGCTATCTATCTATCTATCTATCTAGCTATCTATCTACCTATCTAGCTAGCTATCTTGCTAGCTATCTATCTACCTATCTAGCTATCTAGCTAACTATCTACCTAGCTATCTGGCTATGTAGCTTTCTATCTATCTAGCTATCTATCTATCTAGCCATCCAGCTGTCTATCCAGCTATCTAGCTATCGAGCTATCCAGCTAACTATCTATCTAGCTATCTAGCTATCTAGCTATCTAGCTTTCTATCTATCTAGCTATCTATCTATCTAGCCATCCAGCTGTCTATCCAGCTATCTAGCTATCGAGCTATCTATCTAGCTATCTATCTATCTAGCTAACTATCTACCTATCTATTTAGCTATCTATCTATCCATCTAGCTATCTATCTAGCTACCTCTTTATCTATCTAGCTAGCTAGCTATCTATCTATCTAGCTATCTATCTAGCCATCTATCTATCTAGCTATCTATCTAGCCATCTATCTATCGAGGTATCTAGCTATCTATCTCTCTAGCTATCTATCTATCTATCTAGCTGGCTATCTATCTATCTAGCTATCTATCTACCAAGCTATCTATCTATCCAGCTATCTATCTATCTATCTATCTATCTCTCTCTATCTATCTATCTATCTATCTATCACATGTAATCCTGTCAGCTTTCCAGAGAAGGTTAGTTCGCAAAAACCAACTAATGTAACTTGGGTTTAAGTTTAAATTTAAAAAAAAGCGGGGGGGGGAAGAATGCAAGCACCTCTTCTCACATGTTACGTTGCTAGTTTTCAAGAGAAGGTTGGTCATGTGATACTCAGGGATGTAAATACTGTGCAAAATGCATCTTACATGAAAATCAAGTATTTAAAGCAAGCAAAGCAAAAAAAAAGCAGAGCAGCAAAACAGCAGAGAAGCAAAGAAACAGGAAACGCACAAAAGCAAGGAAGCAGAAAAGCAGGAAAAGCAGAAAAGCAAAGAAACAGGAAAAACAGAAAAGCAAAAAAGCAGAAAAGCAGAGAATCAGGAGAAGCAGAAAAGCAAAAAAGCAGGAAAGCAGAGAAGCAGAGAAGCAGGAGAAGCAGAAAAGCAAAAAAGCAGAAAAGTAGAGAAGCAGGAAAAGCAGGAAAAGCAGGAAAAGCAGGAAAAGCAGGAAAAGCAGGAAAAGCAGGAAAGCAGAGAAGCAGGAAAAGCAGGAAAAGCAGAGAAGCAGGAATCCAAAAATAATTCCTAAACCTGATCAAAAAAAAATCCTAAAATAATTAGCCCTCCATTAGTTAGTACTACTAGTATTAGTATTATCGTTAGTATTAGGATTAGTAGTATCGTTCTTATTATTATTACCTATTACTGTACTATTAAATTATATATATAACTATATATTACATAGATAGCCAGGACTATCAAATTAAGAAGGGGTCAGAGCAATATGTAAAAAATATTTACTTGTAAGAAATAATGAAGTGAACAATTCAACCACCAGGGCTGAGACATGAACTGACTGGACCATGCGAAAGACAGTATGGGCACACTTTCTCCAATATGTAACTAAAAAATCGTAGATCCGCAATGTGTGTGTATGGGTGGGTGGATGGGTGGGGGGTGGGTCGGTTGAGTGTCATGTCTTCATTTTCGCCTTCAATATCATTATCAGCAGGTTAATTGCCGTAACGCAATCAAAGACATCACCAGAAAATATGAAAAAAAACATCAACAAACATTTGTCAATTACTGTGTTCCAACCCAAGCTTTTGACCATCACTGCTATAGGAACATCATTAAAACACCAACGGCCACATGTTCACGGTTATACGAACACTGCACCGAAGGGGACTGAAATTCAGAAGTGGAAGCTCGACAGGGCTTAAAAACATCCCGTCGGGGTGGAAACCGCGCTAACGGGTGTGCAATTGCTTTAAAAAAATAGCGCGGCACCACAGCGCGGAAGTGATTTTATATCTTTCATTTGAAGATTTGGGCTTAAAGTTGCCGGACATGTTGAAGGTAAAATTCTTTCATGTGCTGTGTTCTACAGGGAAATCGTTTTTGAAACCACACCTTTTTTCCTTCCTGTTCAGAGGTGCATCAAGAGTGTAGCAGTGTAGCATCAAGAGCGTTTTGGAAGAGTCACATGGGTGATCGCAGGCACATGAACATTATTAACCCACCTCACCACACCACACCAAAAGTATAGCTAACACAAAATTACGAGGCAGCATGCAAAACCAACACGCGGCTGGGCAAGATCAACAACAAATATGAAAAGAAAGAACCAGCATCATGAATTCGAACAAAATGGAAACATCAAATTACTTTACGAGACAGGAATTTGGTATGAAGAAGCAAGCACGCTCACAGTGCCCCTGGACACATCTCACATCTCCTGTCACATGGAGAAAAACCACCATTTTGATGATCGCATTTTATCGCATTTTATCGCATCACCTTTGTCATCCGGTCAGAGGCTGGGGACACAGGAAGACATTTCCATATGACCAGAGAGCACTCCACGAAATTTCTTGGACAACCTCACACAACATAACATCACATAACATCACATAACATCACATAACATCACATAACATCACATAGCCACAATAACCACAATTAACCACATCCCAATTTCGGAAAGTTCCATTTTGCAATGCATCATCTGCTCCCACGCACTGCTGCCAACCCTCGGCTTGCGTTGGCCTGCGAGTAACAGCCTCGAAGTGTGGCTTTGCCTGATCATGAGCATCAAAATACTTTACTCCCACTGCAACATGTAAAATCTTGTAAAACAGATGACCAGAGAGTAGGAGCTGTGCAAGTGGCAGGTGTTGTTGAGAAATTCACAAGAGATGGTGCCAATCAAGCTAATCACATATTCACTTTCACTGCACAACGCTCGTGGCCACCTCTGGGTAACGTTTCAACACGTCAATCATGTTCATTCGATGGAGAACCTCGTAGCTTGCATTGGCCCCAGCACCCAGTTCTTTGATGTTGAAATCCACTCACTGTGCAGTTTGGATGACGTTACCTGCAGCGGTGACCTACTACGAAAGGGCGCAGTCTGTCGGTCGGATCCGTTTTTCTCTCCCCCAGGGCTCCCACCATCACCGCACAGGTGGTCTTGGCTGTGATATCATCCCGTGGCCTCACCAGATGCTCAAAACATTGCCCGCCTTGAGCAGTGCTCAGACCAGCACAAAATCCTCCAAGGCACCCATCAACGTTGGAAATCAAGCTGTATTCACCAATTGTAGCCTGGGGAAGCTCACTTCGACAGCTTCAACATGATTCAACACAATTCCCAAACAACAGAAAGGTGGCTGGAACAAGCCAGGTTCACACCAAGGTCGAAGATGTTTCGGTGACCACTGGGTGCTATCCTGCAGTCTGCAAACTACCACTCCCTGCTCCCAGTATGGTAAGCGTCGTCAGACAGACCCCAAAGGAACTTTTCAACCCTCATGTTTCACTGAATTTCACTTTTGTGTAGCCGGCCTTTCAACCTGCCCTTCACAAAGGAGAAACATCACGTCGCCTGCATCATCCTGGCAATCTGTCAACTACACATACCGGCTTTTGTTCGGGTCAAAATCTGCGGTTTATTGATGTTCATTGATGCTACATCATAATTATAATGGTGTGTCTTTTGTCATTTCAATGCATCTTACTGCCTCTGATATCTTGGTCATGTCTTGGTTCGGATCTTAAAAGCTGGTTTCCCCGCCTCCCGTTGCAACTTATCCTCTGGGAAGAAGATGCGCGCCTGATGCAGTGATTTGGCCACATGTTTGCTGGCTGATTTGTTTCTTGGGACCTTGATGTTTGAGGTTTTTCGTCATTTTGAGGACACATCAAAAATAAAATACACCACAAAATCTTGCCTCCATTTGTTGATGGATGGCTCTCATAAAGTCTGATGGCCTCTCACACAGGCTTCAACAGCCCTGAAATTGAATGAACATTCACAGGTTTCCAAAGTGAAAAAATGTCAACATTGAACTTCTCGCATAGCTGCGTCTGCCTTCTGGCCTTCTGAGGCTCCGGCAAGTCTTCACCAAAAAAGGAGCATTCCTTCAGCATGGCCACCTGCTTCTCCATGGCGCCATCCTGAAGGCCACAGCATCGAGGGTCCAAAACAACAAGGCTCTACTGCCTCGCCTGCTTCCAGACATTCCTCACTTTCAACAGTTCCCGCCATCGTGTGCGAGCTGCTGGATGCCTTCGGGGGGAGTAGACATCGAGAAGAGATGTTTCAACCACACCCGAAGTTGGTGTACCCGGTGTACCCTTCTCAGGATACATGACAAAATCATCTTGTAGGATTTGTAGGTAGAAACATGAAAACAAAGCCTGACTCGGATACGATGATGTCTGGAGAGCCGCGGGAAAGGTCTTAAAGGTAGAGCAAAGCAGGAGAGTCAAGTTGGTCAAGTTGGTCTAGTTGGTCTCTGTGATTTTCGCGAGGACCGACCCCGAGGCAGGGGGTCCGACGTGGTCCGATGTTCCAGCCTTGCTAAATGGCTCTCCAAATCTGTTTTTTTCAGCTCCTTCCGGCTCAATATAAGGGGGAGTGCGCAGTGAAAGAATTCCATTCACCATGTCATTGAAAATCATCTCATTGTTGTAAGATGTTGTAAGTCATCCCAAACCAAAGGGCAAAGGGACTGAAACTGAAGGAGTTTTTGCCCTATCAACAGTCTGCACCCCAATCGTTGCTCAACAAGTTGTCCTTTTGAAACCAAAATAAGTCCACAAGTTGCAAAGCAAGGGTACCCGGGTACCCATCGATTTCTCTCTGCAACAATTTCTCAACAATAGTCCTGAAGCACGCAAAACTCCGTGGCGACCACTGTCATTCCAGCCAATGCCTGGATGCTCAAGAGATTTAACTCACCTCGGTCCAAGTCAAAACAGTCAAATCATGTCAAATCATGTCAAATCAAGAATATTCAGGAAAATTATGGAAAATTCATTAAACCTGGAAATTTCAGAATCTATTCAGCTGAGAAACCGAGACCCTCCCCGGCATGAAGCTCTCTCACCTAGCCGCTATAGCCGTCATGCCACCGCAGAAATCGAGAAATCCACGGTTTTTCATTGTGGACCCAGTGGACCCCTTCCAGGCCCTTCCTTGTGTCCGTGAAGATTGACATCTGCCAGGCCCTGCTGCAAAAAAACTAACCTGAGCTCAAAACGAAGGCTATTCTATGGACAATGGCTTTTCTGAAATTAAGATCTAAGAACTTTCAACTGATCAACTCAGATCAACAGGATATTTCACCTAGTTCTTGTTGCAAGCCTTAGCCCAATCCAATAGCAAGTCTGTGGTTCGAGCGTTTCGAACGCGTCCTTGGCCACGACTGCAACTGCTCTTGGTGGTGCGACCTCGGAGCAAGAGACTTCACAACCTCGGTCTATACCAAGATGTGCCAAGATGTCCCGGTGCTAAGTCGCCAGCTCGCTGACGAATACTTCCTGGCACATGAAGCCATTGAGGCGATGGCCATGCGACTTCAATTTCAATTTTGCAGAAAATAAAAGAATGGACAGAATGGACAAGTTTAATCGATTTGTTTTTTTCAACTCAAGTGAGGTGATGAATCAGAAATTGAGTGCAAACAAAGCGATGTCTAAGGCAGGTTCCTGCCAATGCTCTGAAGAAGGAGTGTGAGCCTTCCAGGTATTGCAGCATCCTCAGCGACCGGCTTGGGACAACCAAGGTCAAGTATTTGATCACAGAAGACCTATACCCTATGCGTATACATTCAATCTTACTAAAGTCATGGCTCCCCATTTGGCTTGTAAAGTGTGTTCCTCCAGTGTCCCAATTATAGTGATTATAGTGCTCTTGGTGACGTATCCACTGGTCGAAGCCAGGAAACATCTAAAAAACAAAATCATGCGTTTTCCGCACCAACTGATGGGATTGGATTCCTTGCGTGGCGTGCACTGTTCATCATGTTCATCCAAGGATGGCACGGAATTTGTGAGATTTCAGACGTCGCAGAAGGCAACTGCCTCAGCCGCTGTCACATTGGAGGAGGTATTGTTGCACAACAGATACATAGAAAGAGTGTGTGTGTGTGTGCATATGTATATTATAAAGCAAAGTAATGGCTGAATGTTTGTTGAATGCATCACATTGTGGGTGCATAGCTGTCACAGGACTCCCAAGGCAAGCTTTTCGCCGCTTCATTCAGTCCCTCAACTTAAGGTTACGTTGTTCCCACGTTGTTTCGTGTTTCTTGGTCTTAAAGTCTTGCCAGGACTTCTCAGGCACCAACAACAGAGCCCATCGAGCGTAGACCTTTGGACAGCTCAAACTTTCACAACAAAACAACTGCAGGAAGCACTGCAGGGACCTGCAGGTAGCATCTCCCGCCTCCTTGGCCTTTGGAAAATTCCGCACCAAATCCCAGAACACCACCCTGTGGGCGAGGAAACATTGACCAATTCTGTCACGTCAACATTGACCAACGCTGACCAACATTGAGCAACATTGTTTGGAAACAAGGCAGCAGCCGGGGCATTGAAGCACGCTTTTTGTGCATCGCTTGAGCCATCGTCCGATGGCGGTCACTGAGTTGGCAAAGACATGCCACTGTGCGTACAACTGCATGCAACACAGGTCAGTCATGTGCATGGATGGATTTCACACCCGTAAAAACTTTTCTGACCTGTGTGCTGTTCTAATTCCATATGCAGATATCCGTTCTGCATCACATCATTGATTTGGTCATTCCGCATGTGCTTGGTGAGACCGTCAGCTGGCATCGTCTTCGTAGACACCCACAGGCAACGCGTAGTATTGCCTTTTGGCATCTCATCACAGGAGGTGGGATTTCCAACCAGCTGTCCTTTCTCACGCCATAGCTCTTGCCTCAATCCAGTGAGATCGATAGCAAGCCTTTTGTCTGACACCACTGCAGCATTGGGGTTTGTGAGGTGGTCAGAAAGGCTTCGGCAATCGGTGTACCATGCTATCTCCACATCGTCCATTGCCCCGATGTAGTTCGCCATTCGATTGAGGTCCGTGGCCTTATTCTTTACCACATAGAGCATCTGTCGCACATGCTCGCCATCTTCGCTTCCAAGTTGAAGGCTAAGGGTCTCAGCTTGCAGTGTGCTCCTGCAAACACGCTTGATCACTGTACTCGACCATTGCAGAAGGTGAATCTTTCCATACCCTTTTTCGATGAAGTCCCGCGATGCCAGTGCAAGCATCCGCCCAGATTGGGAGCGGTGACCAACGACATGCCCACCGTCGGTCGCATCAACGCTCGCTGCATGGCTCGCATCATTGATGCAAAGAATCACTGCATCCTCAAAGCAAAAGGCATCTGCTGGGAAGTGCACGCCTTTCTCACGGGTCTCCAGGGCATAGTTCAGCAGGCGATTTGCTGTCAGCAAATCATCAACTTTGGCACGTTGCTGCACTGCTTGGAGCTGGTTCACTTGGAACGCCAAATCTGGTCTGCAGACACGGCTGTACCAACTCAAGCTTCCAACGACTGAACGCAATTGTCCAATCTCAGACTGGGTTGCAGCTTGGCCACGTTGTTTCCTGCGGGAAGGCTCAATGTAAATCGCCTTCACACGATCCAACACTTCTGGTGAGGTGATAGTGACACCCTCGCTGGTCTTCTTGATCATGCGACCACAAAATTTGAAAATGCCATCCTTGGAATCGTCGGCGTTGACCATTCTGAACTTGAAACGTTTCTGAACTTCCAGCATCACCTGATCCATCTCCGGTCCTCCACACCAGAGCAAATCATCCACGTGGCTGCCAAGTAGTCCAAGAACTTCGCCTTGAGGACCGGGCAGGTAGTATGCAGATGTTTCCATTGGCACGCTCTTCAGTCCACATTCCATCAGCGTGTCATACAGTTCCTTCCAAAATCCACGGGGAGCATCACAGGTGCCATAGACACTTTTCTCGCAGATCAAAAGTGATCCTGGCTCCACACTCTCATCTGGAATTCCATCTGCAGGCAACTTCAGCGCCAATTTGCGCTTGATCTTCGTTCCTTGCAAAAATGCCGCAGAGATATCTCCTCCGCGTAGAAGTCGCTTCTTGCAGACGCTGTAGGATATGATGGTGTGCAGGAAGAGCTGACTGGAAGTTGGGCTGTCGGTTCTGACAGCTTGATTGCCATCCTTGGTCTTTTCCAAATCTCCTCTGGCAACTAGGCGAGATTTGTAGGCTGGGTTCGTTGGATCCTCAGACTTGTCCGTGTCCACCCAACGGCTCGGGATCACAACCAAGTCAGGGTTGTCAGCCATGAATTGATCCTGTGCTGGACCTGGTGGCAAAACATAGGCAGCTTGAAATTGCTTCCAGCTGTTCCATTCCTTCAATCTCGTTTCATTCAAGGCTTTCTGCACATGGGGCTCGCTCTTCATGTAGTTCAGCTCACGGCCCGCTCCAACTTGTCGTTTCTTCTTTGGCGCTTTTCTGGCTAAGAAAACATCAAAGTCTCTATGAGCCATGAAATGAGAAAATCTTCGATCCTGTCGAAGCTCTTCTTCAGCATCTTGTTGAAGTTCAGGTGGAACTGGAATGTTCCCAGGCTCTCGGTGAGGTGAACGTGAGCGTCCACGATGTGCATTGGCTGTTGATCTTGGTGATCGTAGATGGTGACCGTCAAGGTCATTGGCAGACCTTCGCAAGGCCTCATTCAATCCAAGTTGTGGTACTTGAAGAGGAGCTGGTGTTGAAGGCACTGTGGGCACACCTGATGATGGTGGCCTCTCAGATTCAGGCTGTGCCTCTTGTTGCATCGGACCGGAAGACATGTTGGTGTCTTCCTGCGGGGGACCACCGGCTGTAAAATCCAAATCCAAGCCAGGTGGGGACTGCACCTCAACTGGTAAGTCCAATCCAGGAGGAGCGCCCAAATCCACGCCCGCAGGGTCCGCAATGGGAGCACCGGCACCTTCTGAGCTGGGCATACCTGGCTCATGTGGAAGCTCCAGGTAGGACGGTTGATCATCTTCTTGTTGGAGATGAGGAAGATGCAAATCATCTGAAAATGGCATCTCGTCGTCTCCCTCATTGATTTCCCTTTTGCGTTTTCGGGAAGGCCTCAGCTCAAGGATCTGCTTCACCATGACTTCAGAGGTTGTTGCAGGCCTGATCTGACTCTCTGCCACAACAATTGGAACTCCAGCATGTATGATCCAAAATGTGGATCTTCCTTCTTTTCCCACAATTCTCGCAGGTCCATGCCATCGGTTACGGCGATGGAAGCATACAAGGTCTCCAGGTGAGTAGGGACCTCTCAAAGGCACTGCTTTGCGCAGCAAGGCAGCTCTGATTCGCCTGCTGCTATCAGCTTTTGCAAAGCTCATCTTGGCAGCTTGCCTGATCTCCAGCTGCTTTGCAAACTCATCCTCGGGCTCCAAGGTCTCAGATTGAACTCCCAAGGCATAGCTCTCGGCCTCCTCAGCAGTGACTGAAGTGAAGTCGGTCGGCAATCGACCAAGCACCCATTGGGCAGGAGTGAAGCCATGATGATTCACCCTGCAGTTCTTCACTGTGGTGCTTTCGGCAATGAGCATCTTGATGTCGTTCACGCCAAGGATCTGGCGCTCTTCAATGGCACCTTTGAGCACTTCCTTCAAAATTCCACCTTGGCGCTCAGTGCGTCCAATTTGAAATGGTGCTTCCAGGCCAACGGTTCGTACTTGAACTCCATGGATTCGCAGTAGGTCGAAGACCCTTCCACGGTTGTGGACACCACGATCGCAGGTGAAGATGCGAGGTGATCCAAAAGGCTGGAACCATCCATTCAAGAGCATCTCAGCGCAAACACGGCTCTTTGGAACGCCTCCAGGAGCAACTCACCATGCTTGGTGGTACAAGGTTCCCAAACACACCACTGACAAAACTGTGTGGCGATTTCCAGCTGCATCATGAATCTCAAAACAGTCAGCAGAAATCTCATGGTTGAAAATCATCTTGTTGGGCTCCTTCACAATTGGGGCTTTCTTGACCGGTTCTCGTTTCCGGCATGTTTCACATGAAAAGTGGCGGACTGCCTCACAAGCTTCGGCTGAAGCGCCAGCCGTCCGCAACAACTGCAACATAGAGCTGCTGGAACCATGACCAATCATGTGATGAAGCCGCCTGATGGCCACTCTGGTTTCTCTTGGAATTCTCAGCCACTTGAACTTGCGGTCGGCCTCAAGCTCCATCAGGTCTGGAGGGTTTGGTGCCTCCTCCATGTTCTCTTGTCGCTGCAGCTCATAGTTGTCAACACGCTCGGGCAAAACTGGGTTACGACTCAGGTCATCCTCGTCATAGATGAAGTCCAAACTTCCCAGTTCGCCCTCGCCATAATCCATCTCTTCATTGGAAACTTCATGGAAAGCAGCCATGACAGTTCGGCTGTGCAGATCATCCAAAAGTCCATTGATGATCGCCTTGCACAAGGCTGCAGGCCAGTGTTGCGCAAGCTTCGTGCGCCTTCCACCTTCCAATGGCTGGTGGATATGGTTTCCAGAGCATCGCCGTTGAACTTGGTCCTTCACACCTTTGGACGCAGTCATGAAGCCAGTGGGTTTGAAGTGGGGCAAACCATTTTGGAGGTCTTTCAACCCAAACTCACATTGATCTCCTCTGACAAGTTCAAGAGGTTCTCGGCTTTCTGCATCACAAGGTGCTTCAGTGATCAACTTGTCCATGCATAGGGTTCCCCAAAGTTCGCTGGGCCATGGGTTCTCAACCACAAACTTTCGGCCACGTGCCATGCGCTTGCGTACCATCTTCTCAATCCATTTCAGGCATGGGTACCAAGCATCACGCTGTTGCAAAATTGTTTCCCTGGTGATGTCGCTCTTCTGCATGTTGAGTCGACTCCATGATCCCCAGGGTCCACAAACTGGTGCAAAGGTCACGCAGTAGGGGTCTTGCTCCTCAATGTGAAGCTCTATCTCATGGCGCACCTTGGGATCCAAAAGATCAGTGCCATCCAGCTTGATGTCTATTGGTGCAGCAACCGGCAAGCCCAAACTCATGGCCATTGAGGTCAAAACTGCTGCACCTGCAAAGATCTCCATCAGAAAGACCTTGCATCCTCGAGGAAGAGGTGTTTTGGCCTTCTGGCCTTTCAGGGTCGCCCAGAGGCTGACATCACTCGCATGGATCTCCTGGACAGATTGCTCCAGGAACTTGCGCTGGCCGCGCGTTATGGTCTTGCGCATCTCATCTTCCACAGCCACATAGGTCTCATGCTGTTGCTGTAGATTTTGTGACATGTTCCGACACCCATGAGCTACGGACAAATCCAAGTCCAAGTCCGCGCTCACAGATGCCGGCTGTTGCACTGAATATGGTTCCTGCGCTCGTACTGGAGAAGGTTCCTGTGTCGTGGAAATTGCATCCATGTTGTCATGTTCATGGGCCTCAGTGACACCCATCATCGCAAGGTGCTTGGGCAAGAGTCGCACGCCCAAGAGGCCATTGATGTTGGTGACAATGAGCTCAGCATTGAGCTTGGTGCTGAAGACCTTGTCATGGTCTCCCAAAGTCACCGTCAAGCCCAATTTGCGCTGGTCGGCAATGGAGAGCAGAAGTGGGGCATCACTATCTTCCAACTCTATGCTGTCAATCTCTCCTATCGCCATGCCATCCACAATCTCAAAGCAAACATCTAAGCTCCTGGTGCCCTTTGTGTTGATTGAACCGCCAATGCCACGAAATCCTCCGCCATGATCCGGCTCCAAAGGGTAGTGGTGCTGGTCCACGGTGTCCATGTAGCGTCGGAGCCATTTCTCACCGTGGCATGTTCTGTTGCAACCAGAATCAAGGATTGCAATCAGGTCTGTCTCAGTTCCCCCTCCAGAGGTCGCCATGAATCCAAGTCTTGGATTGGTCTTGTGCTGAAGGTAGGTGACAAATTCCTTCAGCTTGCGGTTCTTGGTCTCGGTCTGAGCCAGGCACCAGGTGACATAGGGCTTTTCATTGTCATACACATCCTTGAAGGTTCGGCCTCTGAATTCTCCAAATGAGATGGCCTTGTTGTCCTTGTCGTCCATGTCAGGGCTGATGGTGCTCGGCATGGTTGTGGTCATGGCAGCATTCATTGTAGATGTGGCGCAGACAGCATCCAAAACTCGATGCATTGAGGCGGATGACATCTGTTGACAGCCATCCTCATCAGCCTTCACACGGGCCACAACCTGGCACGTATGGAAAATCTCCTGCACCTGGTCAATGGTGAAATTGCCATTGGATGACGATCCACCAGCTGAAGATCGTGGCATGGAAGTGGAACTCCTTGTCATTCCAGGCCTCGTGTGAGCATAGTGTCCAGTAGCCACCTTTCCGCACGTCATGCATGTGTTGCGCCACTGGTGTCCATTCGATCCCTTCCAACTGATGCGAAGGTGAGAGCAGGCTGCTTGTTGTGCTGTTTGAGCAGCATCTGGACCAGTAGGCAACTTGCCATCCTTGAAAACTCGCTTGAGGACTTTTCCGCAGTCTTTGCAAGACTCCATTTCCACATGTTGGTTCGTCCCTTTTCGCGTGATGTTCTTGTGAGGGCAAACATATCCTCCATCATGTTGCACAGGTGCTGGAAGAGGAAGAGGAGCTGAGGCTGGTGCACTTGACATTGATGCCGGCAGAGGCTTGGGCAAAGGTTGCAACTCAGGTCGGAAACCGGCCAAAAGGTTGGCACGCCAGCGCTTGAAGTTCGCCTCATCCTCTGCATTGGAAAAAGGATGTCCCGCATGGAACTCACACCAGCGCTCCTGATACGCCTCCGCATAGTGCGGATGATCAGGCTTGTGGGAGTCCAGCCATTCCGTCAGCTGATCTCTTCGTGCTTCTTCCAAGGCTTCAATGGGCGGCAAGATGTTCTGAGGGTTGAGCACCTGGATATGCGGTGGCAAGTAGATCGCAGTCGCCACCCCTTCGCCATCAACTTCCATCTCCAAGTCTCCCAGTTGATGCAAAGCTCCATGAACAACTGGCGCCGATTCTGGGGCCAGGGCATCCAACAGCAATGCAGTGTCCTTGTCATTCACAGTCATATGGACACCTGCAGCTTCTGTCGGTGAAGGCACAGGTGAGCTTTGGATCTCTTCAGGTCCAGGGCGCAAGAACTCTGGGAGCTCATACTCACCTGCCGTGTCTGATGAAGCCTCAGACGTTGGGCTGTAGCTGTAAGACTTCTGTCCAGGCGCTTTGTTGTTGCACCTGACTTCATTGCGACCACGAACAGGTTCTTCCAGGCATGGTCGTGAGGTCATTGGATTGCTCGCAGCTGCAGCAGCCATGATGTTGGTCAGAGAGTCCGCAAAAGTTCCAACAACTGGCATAGATGAGGACGCCGTAGAGCTCGAAGGCAAGGTCTCACTCATCAAGGAAGTAGGGGGAGGAATGCATGCACCCCTGGCCTTTGGTCGAGCTCCTTTGGGTACCTTGGTCTCATTGGGCTCGGGCTTCACTGCCATGTAGCTCCATCCATCGGTTCCTGAATCATCACCACGATGTGAAAAGTACACCACACGTGGTTTGTGCGGCTTTCCACCATGTTTTCCTCCGCCAGCCGAATTGCTCGGCTTTGTTGAAGTGGTACTTGGGCTTGAGCCCTTCTTGGATCCACCTTTGCGATTCCCCTTTGGGCATGAGGCATCGCCACTCCAGTGGCCTTTCTGACCACACTTCCTGCACTCCGTTCTGGCTTTCAACTGGGCAAGTCGGGCTTTGCGTTCCTGGAAGGAAACGTTGCCGCTGATCTCGAACTGGCGCTGGGCTTGGAAACCTCCATGTCCTTTTCCTTTGCCATGTCCACGCAACATGTAGGCTTCATACTCCAGCTGCAGTGATTCCGCTGCCAAAGCAACTGCTTCCTCATTCTGCAGGTCCAGTCCATTTTCGCACAGCAAAGCGAAGTTCATCACCAGGAAGCCTTCATCGTCGTAGTCATACTCAGTCATGTCGTCATACTGAACCTCGGCCACAATCGGCCACATACCCATAGGTTTCGTCATCTTCAGGGACCTCGCGCTCTTCATTCAATACGGCAGAAAAACCAGTTAGCGATTGCGATCCGCATTCCCAGTCATCGTTGCCAGAATTGAAATCCTCCGAGAAAAAACCTCGGTTTCCACCCTTGTGACGCGGCTGAAATCTCCAGCCTTTGGAATGGCCCTTCGGCTTTCCAACTCGTCGTTCACGTTCATGGATGGAAGGATGTTGAGAGAGCAGCTCCGTGGTCACCGAATCGGTGGTGATCCTTCCTTGAAGCACCGTGCGGATCATCAGGCGTTGATCCTCAGACAAGCCACTATTCGTCAGGGTCATCTCGGCCAGCAGCACATCTGGCACCTTGAGCTCCTGGTCGAGGCTCTGCAAAGCGTTCCACCAGGCTGTCCTGCGGGCCACATAGGAGCTCATCGGTTCTCCATGTTGGCGGGCAAGCATTCCACCTTCTTTGGAACCTGCGCTATACAGTTCTCTGGCTTGTTGTTCTTTCCAGGGCTTCAAGTTGCTATTCAGGGTTTTCAGCAAGGTTGTAGGACCAGCTGATGAAGACAAAACTGAGATGTCCACCTGCTGAGCTAATCTGAGGGCAGGTCCACGCAATCCCTCAACTAACCTCAGGCCTAATGGTCCCAGCTTGGCAGTCTCGTCCTTGCTCATCTCGGCCTCTTTCGCCATCTTCGTCCTAACTCGCCATTCATATTCCTGCAAGGTGTGCGGATTTCCATCAAACCGCGGGACGCCAAACTTGCCTTCTGTGTTCTGGTCCTCCATGTTGCTATGAACTTGGGTTCCATCAGGCTTCCACCTCAAGTTCTCCAGCATCGCAGCCATGGCGTAGCTGGCTCAAAAACACAGGGTGATTGCCGCAAAAGCGGCTCCGCTGCCAGTTTGGAAACAAGGCAGCAGCCGGGGCATTGAAGCACGCTTTTTGTGCATCGCTTGAGCCATCGTCTGATGGCGGTCACTGAGTTGGCAAAGACATGCCACTGTGCGTACAACTGCATGCAACACAGGTCAGTCATGTGCATGGATGGATTTCACAATTGACTTTTGGCCTGTCCAGCATAGCAATCTGGCAGGCTTTCCCGCCATGTGACCTCAAACCAGTTGTTCAGGCCAGGACTCACCATCCGTGACAGGAAGCCAAGGTTCCAAGTCCCGCACATCACCGTACTTGACCTGTTCATGCCCAGCATGGCTGCAGCATTCACTGTATCCTTTGGCTTCAGCACCTCCAAGGAACAGTGACAGTGCCCCTGTGCTGCCTAATTTGCCATCACTGTCCGCTTACAAGTTTAGAACCTCGAAGGTTGAGGGGATCCATTTGATTACTTTTAATGTATGTTCAAATTTAAACACGAAGCTTCCACCAGCCCAGCACGAAGTTCCCAAAAAGGAAAGCAGCTTCTTATAGACATCTGCTCCATTTTCGAGAGAGACACTGGAATGCAGACTGCCCAGTCACCAAATGTCAACAGTCCATCCTTGACCATTCAAAAAAACGAATTGCAATTTGCTCAGTTTGATTTCACCCAGTGGCCAACATTACTTTGAAATCCTTTTAAATCTGTGAAGCAGTGTCCTTGCTTCATGTGTGCAGCTCCGTCCAGACTTTCCCGCCTCCCCAGTTTCTTTGACGACAGCTTGGCCCCGTTCGATGATGGCTGCGGCCCAGGTTTGCCTCACCGTCGTCGCCCAGTCTGTGAGCTCGGCAGTGAATTTGGTGTTTCAGCACGCTCCACAACGGAAATTGACGGCATGCATCGGCATGCCAAACAATATGTACACATTGTGACAAGAGAAAGGCGACGTTTCACGGCACAAGTTGGTCATGCACTAGCCATGGAATCTGCCGCCTGTCCCCGTCCTTCCTACCACCCCATGGTGAATGACTTCAGAAGATCTATCTATATATATATACATATATATATATATGTCTGCGCAGTACAACCCAAAAAAAATGGTAGAGTGCTTCCATGGATTATTGTTCTCTCATTTGTGGACATTGCCCCGCCTTTTCTGGTTCGAGACAGAAAGCTGATGCTCCTCAGTCACAAGGCTTGATCCTTCTGTTCGATGTACTCATAAATACAAGTGCAAGTATTGCATCATGTTCCATGACATTCCATGAGTTGAATGTCTCATGCCAAAACCAGCGGATGCACCTCACCCTCTACCACCGTCTTCACAGTTGCAACACCCCGCAACTGATACCTTGAGACACTTGCAACGGAACGCGAAGTTGCCGATTCAGACATGTTGCATTCAAGAAACGGAGACCGCAACTGAGGGAGCCACGCTATCTGCGGGTGGCACATGAGCCTGGATCCAAGGATATCCAAGGTGTCCTTTCTGAAGAACCATGTTGAATCATGTTGAATCAGAATCGCAAATGCCAGGCCGCCAACGCAATTTCGGACGCCATGAAAGCCGCCCAGCTCTCGCTTTCTGCTGTCATCCCTAACGCGTCCCATACATGAAGAATTCAAGATTCCTTTGATTCCTTTGGTCCGTTTGGTGCACAAGTCAGGTGCGGGCTTAGGACGTCGTCGCTAAAACCATTAACAGCCTGATAGTGCTCGAAAAGATGGTGCATGTTGAAGCTGCTTGAACACGGGAGCTAAATCAATTATCAATTGTCAATCAAATCGAAAAACCAATGCACTTGGGCAGTTCAGTCAGTGGCCTCCCAAATCTTTTCGGAGCGAAGCACCAAAACCTGGCACTATTCCAAGGAATATGGTCCATTTTTTTTCGAAGATTCTTTTGACCCACAATGTTACCAAGGATCCTCTCGACCGGTTTTCGGCACTTTTTGACTGTTATATAGGTGATAACAGTGATAACTCTTACACTAAGCGAGAGTCATCCGTCATCCTTCCCATAACAAGTGAGATAACCACACTGTCCGGAATCGGGGTTGGCCTTGGAGTCAACCTCCGCTGTCACAGTCGAATGGCGTGCCTTGACACAAGGGTTGATGTCCCCCTTTCAGACACTTGCGCGGTGAGGTTGAAGGCTTGCAAATCATCAAAATTCTGTCTCCCACAAGAACATGAGACAAATAATCCACTAGTTTGTCCGGCCGAGCCTGTAAAACATTTAAGGCACCCAACTCACCAAAAAGCATGCCTTCAGATCGTTGGCCAGGTATTTATGTCTTCATGCCATGGCAGTTTCTTCCGATGACAAACCTTTAATCAAAATGACTTTCAATTCACAGAGCTTGCATATATATATATACATATAACTGGGCTTTATGATAGATCCTATCTACAGTTATCATGATATATCTATAGCTAATGGAGTTTATAACTCATTGAGGACAGAACCAGGCTGGATTGTCGGTAAGCTGTAATCTCTTTCGTATTCCATGCGCCTGGCAGCTTGTGACATGCAAAGAGTGGCTGCTTGGGCAATTCGACCACATTTGGGAGTCCCGTACTCTAAGAAAATAATCGGAACTGAGTATATGAATTGTAATTACTATACACAATTATATATATACGATATGTATTCACATCTAATTTAATTATATAATGAGTTATAATGGATTCATACGGAATTATGTTCGCAAAAGGTCCAGTGCCGTAAGCCTATTCAAGGCCGAACATGTTGAGGCTACTGCCAACATATCACAATCAGCCAGAACCACTCAGACTGAATCTGATGCGTTAGTTGTCCAGAGATCACCAAACCAAGCCTCAGTGGCAAGTCACAAGCCAAACCACTTACAGTACAGGTTTGATGTGCAATGATGTCGAACACTTCTCAGGCTCGGACCATTCCTGGTTTTGCTTTTCTCCTTCTTTGTATACAACTTCAGAGAATCGCAGGAAGCGCTCCTGCACTGAAGTTCACCATTGGCCCAAGCTGCACCAAGAAAAACAAACGACCAACTAGAATAAAGTAAAATCGTCCGCTTAGAACACTGCATGAGGGGAAAGCGTTTTTGGGGGCCTCTCCGTGTTCGGCCAGAAAGATCAGCGCCTGGAGAAACTCACGTGGAAGCAGGTTGCGGATGAGAGTTCCCGACCCATGGCCTGGTCCGAAAGCCTTCCAAAAAGAGAAGTCTTCTGCAGAAGCTTCCCATTCTGAACAGTCGGGCGTTCAAATGGAAAGATATGGAAAGATATGGAAAGTACAAAGTAACGTTCAGAAAGGAAATCAATCAAGTCTTGACGGTCGCCCGTCAAGATGCCTCAGGCATCTTCGGGGCTTGTTTCTTTCCCTCACTTTCTTCTGCCTGATGCATAGAGACACTTTTCAGCTTTGACCTTTCGTACTCCCAAGGCAGCACATGGTCACGAGGTATATTCACACACAAAGCAAAACGTTGGGAACTAGCAGTTTGGGAGTCCAACAGCCAAGCCCGACTTGCTTTGGGCCTTCGCTTTATCGCTTGGCTTGCGGACTTGCACTCCGCATAGTTTCTGACATCAGCTGACATTAGCCAATTTCAAACAATTGACATGAAAAATGAATCAGAGGCAAACCAAGCAGTGAGACGTCAAGTTATTCAGTGCAAATGCGGCCACTTTAGATTTGACCCACCTCTGAAGGTGCCAGACTACTGATATCCAAGGCGATGGGAGTGGTCATCTGGGCCAACCAAGCGGATCATACGCCAACGTAGTCTGCAGGTATCCGGTACGCCAATCATAGAGATTCATATATATATATAGCACAAAGATGCACAAAGTATACAGCAGATTCATCCAGGTGTCGCACGGCCCTTTTCAGCTTCGCGTGTTGGCTGAGAGATTGGTGATCTGCGATGTTCCAACAGACAGGCAGCAGAAGCTTTGATCATATTATCAGAAGTCATATCATTATAATAATCATACAGTTACATTAGTTAAGAATCATGCATCATGTGATCATCATGCTAGCAAAATTAAGGATTGATTGAAATGCGTCCACCACTACAGGCACGTTGATGCCCCTCATCGCCCCCTTGCAGTCAGCTGCACCTTCTTCTGGGACAGGCATGTTTCTATCCTGAGATTTTATGTGGCATCGGTTGTGTGATGTCCTAAGAAGGTCTAGGCAGCCAAAAAACATTGGTCAATGCTGATCAATGCGGGTCGATGCTGGTCGTTTTTCATGTTTCTTGTCATTTTGAGGGGCACACGTTGAGGCCTTTAGACAGCCTGAGTCTGCATGGTAGGACCAGCAACACTGATGCTTTCGAGATGCAAAGGCAATCCAAACAACTTTGGGTTGCCTTGCTTGGATGGTCTGGCCACCACGTGTTTCTCAATAATGTGCATCATGGCTTCCAAAAGAATGGTCATGACTCTGTTTAAAGTTTAAAACTCTGTTTCTCCATACTCAGACCATGGCCGTCGCATTTCTACTCGAGCCTGGGCAGCCAGGATCTGCGTTACACTGCTCTTCCCAGATTTCCCAGAGAAAATGATTCCTTCATTTCCTCCCCATTCACCGCCTGCTTCAAGGTCTCTGCTACCGACCCCGCCATGGAAGCTCTTCGCACATTTGCCACGGAAGCAGCGGATGCCCTGTCCAGATGTCAGACCGGTGTCTTTCCAAAGATGACAGCTTGTTACACCTTTCAAGTCCTGGTCTGCGCAAGCAGTTTTGAATTCGAAAAGAATGAACCAGGTAGCTGCAAAGCGTGCCTTCGCCTGAAAGTTTTTTGGGGAGACCTGGCACTGGAACATTGCCAACTGCACAGCGCATCCGCTGGGCAGCCGAGCTGGGGACTCATCACTTGAACTTGGAGGACCGAGCAATTGAAAACCTTGGCACATTGAATTCATTGCATGACATGTGGATGGGTCTGTGGAACAATCCTTGGGGAGATGGGCATCCTACCGGCTTTTTCTCAGGGCAAGGTTTTGACTTTTGACCCAAACGTACATGGAGGATCTGACAGCCTGAAAATCTGAAACCACCGAAAAGCTAAAGGATCGGACTGGCTCCTACTGAAGAACGACGTCCCCTGGGGATTTGTGGAAGCTTGCAATCGTGTGGAATCGTGAAGGACGAGATCAACAAGGTCTCTTGGCTTAGCATCAGACACTTCGTGTAAGAAGCGAAACATATTATCTCTAGATTCTAGACTAGATCATACGCTACCTTGAGTCAACTTGAGTCCATGGGTGGTTTCAACAGCCACACTGAGATTCACACCCTGTTTTCTTTTCAGGCGAGAAGTGCCTTTGACAAACCAAAAAACAACAGGCACAGCCCGGCACAGCCCGGCACAGCCCGGCTTGAAGTCTCGAACCCTGTCCCAGGCCCCCCAGGTCGATGAGGCACGCTTTTTGGCGGGCTTTGGCATCTAGTAAAACATATTGCATATACAATGCATATAGCGTGGAAGATAATCAATTTCCAAGTTGTAGCAACGTCTCATCTTGCGGAGCTTCAATTTGCCCCACACCTGACCATGCCCAAGAAACTCGTTGCCGACGATCATCTGCAGTAAGATCCAGGGTGACTTCAAAGCGGCTGCATGTCGGACTGTAGATTTGCCAGCAGTGTGAGCATGGGTTTGCACCTGGACCTTCCACAATGTACCTGGCAGTGGAGTCCCCTGATTGCTTCAATTTCGGATTTATCCATGTTTATCCTGAACCTAGTGGCAGTTTCATAATTTAATTCAAGTTAAATCCCGGTCCAAATAAAATTACCGGAAAAAGGTAGCAAAATTAAATGCTGGCAATTCATGTCATCTGCCTTCCATTCAACACCATTTTTTGAAAGGGTTGATTAAGTACAGCAAAGTTTCTCATATGGTCTCGAACAGGTAAGTTGTGGATAAAGGGACAGGTGAATATCTTCATCAACGATGATATAGAATCGCTCCATGAAACCAGCGAAACCTCTCGATTGTATCTTGCCAAAGGCGCGGAAGATCCCTGGCCTTTGCGCGTCCATGACCATTGTCACGGGGACCCAGTTGGTCCATGAACCGTAAACATGATAGCTATGACGCTCCCATCCATCTTCACTTTCCCAAACCTTGTCACCTCTGACGTCAGATGCGACTGTGACACGAAGATGCCCGTCTGACACCTCCAATGTCACAGTGAGTTCTTCTCCAGGCATTCCGCGAATTTGCCAATACTTTTTCTTGCCGAAACTGTCTGGACCTCTCACTGGCACTGTCGTTTTTACTGCACCTGATTTGGCAGGATAGATCAACTGATTCACATCACCATCTCTTGAAATCTGAAACTCCTCTTCACCCATCACTCCAAGGCGGAAAGAGCCCTGCCAAGTGCCAGCTTCAGTTTGCTTCATCTCCTGAAAATGACCTGCTGTGAAGGTCCCTGTCAACATGTAGCTGTGGGCAAAGGCAATAGTCGGCGAGGAGCTGGGAGTGGCTGTGAGGGTGTTTCCCAAGGGTTTCCAGGAGACGCTCTTCACTTCTGGATGCCATCGAAGCTCAACTTGGTACAAACTGCCAGACAAAGCCTGAGAGTCACGGCCATCAATGATCCAGTAGCGTCCAGCACTCTTGTGATCCGGCCCTTCCACCCAGATTTTGCTCGAAGCATCCTTGATGATGGGATAAATTTCCATGGTCAGGTCTCGATCGAGGCAAAATCTGAACATTTCGTAGCAAACTTCACCAAGCATGACGTGTGCAATGTACACACCCTTCTCTCGCCTTTCCATGGCTTCCATCTTGGTCCAACCGCTCCAAGAGCCAAAAATGTACACTTCATCCTCAATATCTTCTAACTCTTCACCAGGCTTGGAGGAGCGTCGATATCTGTAGCCACCAGTGTAGGCCTGACTTGAGATATCATAGGAAGCCCATTCATCTCGGAGGACATCAGCCTTGTAGCCCTTCTTCTTGCGGAAGGACTTAGTGATGGGTTCACCTGTCGTGACTTCTATCAACCCAAGGGTGACAGGACATCGAATGTGTATCTGATCTGCCTGGGCCAGGTCCGGCTTGGCATTGGCTTTTCTGGGCCCTGACTTGCATTGACTCCATACATCTGCACGAGCATTTGTCCCACTGAAACCAAAGGAAGAGACCCCAGCATAGTTGCTGTTCAAGCGAGTGTCAATGACTTCTGTGTCAAAGTTACTGGGGAAACCATCTACGTCCAAATGTGGATTCAAATTTCTGAGGTGACAGTTGGGATGAGCTTGCGAACTCGCTACCATGCTCACGCATTTGATAAGGCCAATCATTCCGGCACATGCCTCAGTGTGTCCAATATTTGACTTGGCACTGGTGGTCAACAGGGGTGTGTCCCTGGGCTCCATAACACCTCTAAGGGCACCAACTTCAATGGGATCTCCCAAAGCCGTCCCTGTACCATGGCACTCTGCAATGGTGATCTGGCTGGCAGTGACCATCGCCTCTCGCATGGACTCTCTGATGCAAGCTTGCTGTGCCATTCCATTGGGTGCAGTCAAGGTGGCACTGCGACCATCTTGGTTTACGTAGGTACCCATCAAACAGCAGAGCTGCTTCAAATAGTCATCATCAGAATCACTTGGTTTGATGTAGACACCTCCAAATCCATCACCACGGGCATAGCCTTCAGCACTAACATCAAAGGTAAAGCATCTTCCCTTCGCAGCCAGCATAGAAGGGCCGCAAAGACCAATGAAGGTCATGGGACTCAAAAGCATATTGACGCCCATGCAGATTGCATCCAGGCCGCGATTGTTCACAACCGATTTGATCTGTCCACCGCTAGCCTTTCTCAAAGCCTGAACAGCGGTGGTGACACCGACCAATGAGGCCGAACAAGCAGTGTCAATGTTGGTGGATCCACCCCTGAGGCCAAAAATGTGCGACAGTCTGCCGGCCGAAACGATCTTGGACACCCCAGCATATGTCCAATGACATGCTTCCAAATTTCCGAATGGAACAGGTCTACCAGGGTTCTTGGGCTGTTCCAAATGCTTGATCTGCGCAACAAAGTCCCAATCAGTTCCGGTGTCACCCAGGAAGGCAGCTGTTTGACGTCCATTGAGATCTTTCCTGGTGAAACCAGCTTTTCTAAGCAGGCTATAGCCATCTTCAAGGATCATGCGCTGATTGGGCGAGATAGTCATGACTTCATCTGGGCTAATTCCAAAGAAAACATTGTCGAAATTGATGATCTCTTCATCACTCATCATCGCCCCATGTCGAACGTAGCTTTTTCCAGGTTCTTTTTCACCATCATGTGTGCAATAAATATCAATATCAAACCTTGTGGCGGGAATCTGAATGAAACCATCGGTGCCACTGGTCAACATACACTCAACTCCATCCAAATCACGAGCCCCACCGGGCAAATGGCCATGCATTGCCATGACATGCATTCTGTAGCCTGTTGGCATCGGAGGGCCAACCAAAATTCCCAGAGCTTCTGAATGCTGCATGCTATCCACACTGAAGTAACCAGTGGCTAACTGTTGAACCACTTTTGATCCTGCGTCAACTATCCAGGTTGTCAAAGCAAGGGGTTCTTTGCCCAGCGGTTTGTAACTGAATCCAAATTCATCACATCGGAAAACTAAAAGTTTACCTTCAGACAAAGGGATTGAGGTAGCATCTTTTGCACTCCCGGGGCGTGGCAACAAATCCATCACACCCCCATCATTTGAAATCCATCTCATCAGGCAGAGTTTGCGCTTCTGAATGAACTGCAAATGGCTCTCTAGCACACCTGCATCCACATCCTCATCGGAGAGATTCCGGGGTTGTAGCCGTTCGGCTTCTTCGAAATCACGAAATGGAGTCCACACCATTCCTTTCCTTCTGCCTGCACAAGTGAGACCCAACGCTTCCGGCGTGATGGGCGCCAATAGTTTGCAAAGAGCAGTGAGTTCTGCATCCACTTCCTGCAATGCCCAGGTCAGATCTCCAGATCGATCATCCAAGATGCCAACCTTGCTGTTGCCATCCTGTCCCAAGTAGTCGGGCAAAAACTCCCTGCGCAAGCTGGTGTGAATCGACAAAGATCGAGCTTCTAAGATTGCCGTGTCTCGCAATAGCTGGTCCTCAGGCATAGAGATGAGACTCCAGCCTTGATCAGCGATAGAATCGACCACATTACATGCCAAGTCATTCAGCTGGCGAAGGCGGTCAGATGTCTCTACATCTTCGTTTGGCCAACTCAACATGCGGCCATGCGGCAGTGCAACACGGCACCCGCAACTAGGACTGGCCTCTGAAAGCGGCCACAAATTGTTTTGGGAAATCTGAACCAACGGCAGAATGAATCAAAAAGGATCGAAAACATTTACTGAAAACATGGGTCTGACTGCAACTCAATCCACAAATTCATCGTGGGAAAACCGTGTTCCCATTGAAACATCAACAACACAACAATCTGACATTTCCAATATGATTCATGGGACACGCCTGGTTTAGCTATGCAGCAAAAGTTTGGCCCTTGTTCAAATCCACGAGCGTGTGTAGAATTGATTTGTGTCTTGTTTGATCTGTCAACACTCAGCATGATTCATTCAGCAGTCCAGGAAGGCCAGGAAATGCAGTGAAAACTAAGCAACAAACGCAAAACCAATAAATAACAAAAAAATCTGACGGATGGCAACGATCATGCTGTCAGAAACTGGAAACTGAGTTATTGGCACCGCAGACCCTCCAAGAACTGGAGGTCCAGTCCTAAGATATCAAAACGGGGATCACAAAAAAAATGTGGTCAAATTCTGGAAACAAATTTATTTTTTGTAATCACATTCATGTTCAAAAACATTATCGACGGATGTCATGTTGCCCAAATGGATTTCACATTTTTAATGATTCGATACGCTTGCCTCAGGGAACTTCGCCTTGCCGAAATGGATTTGCGGCGACCCTGCGCATTCGATCCAAACACCGACCCGAAATCGAAAAACAACATGCCCACAACGGCCCACATCTCTCGGAAAGCCTCTGCAGACTCTTTAGCTGGCCTTAGTAACAACACGCAGTTGCTGAAAAAGTAACAAAATGGTTCCGCATATACAGTAATTTTCTACACGTGTCCATACATAGATCCAAGGCTGCAAGTCCCCCACACATGAGCGGTTGAATGCCTGGCAGCCGAACAATAGCAAAAGCAAGGAATGTGCAAAAAATGCGTGTTGGAAATTCAGATGCCGAAGCACCTTCGACCACTGAATTTTCCTTTTCCAAACCGCAGCCTTGGCACAATAAATTTTGGAAATTGATCCAAACACATGTGCAAATCAGTTCCTGTACTGCGGCCGTGGAAAAAATGAAACTGTCTTGAAGCAGCCAACGAATCGTGCCCGAAATTCGAGCTATCCTGCGGCAATGCGGCAATGCACAATAATTTTGGCAAACTGATTGATTTTTTTTGCAAAAACATCAAGCCTGCGTATTCTCAGCCATGTAGTCCAGGCCATGTTGTGAAAATATTTTGACGTTTATGCATGGTCCAACGGTGACAAAACTGAAACCATTTGATGCGCTGAAATGGACTTTGGTGTGACAGGACTGAAAGTTTTTCGTAGTGTTCATTTAATGCTTCCCGCGGCAGCAACCACTTGAGTCAAATTCGATGGACGTCAACGAAAACAAACAAAATAACATTTTCAACAAACAGTATTATTTGCAACACCCACCATCCATTGACCCGAAAATCCCTTAATAATATTTATATAATAACCACCATCTCGTGAAAGAAAAAAATGGATTCGGGGTTCTCTTGCGATCTCTATAGATGGAACAGCTACAACTACAATTTACAAAATACTGTTTTGATGAGTTGATTAACTCCCTGTTCATCACGGTCCAAAACTGAAATGGAATTGAATCTGCGCAAAGCTGCGAGCACTTTTGAACCTTAAAGAGCCTGCCCATGTCGAGCAGTAGTCCGTGTTTGCCACAGTGATAGGAACGGATACTACACATCTGATCTGTACCATCTTGAAACCCTTTTGCACCCCCCGTGGCATCAGCTATGTAGAAAAAAGAAATACTCAGGGCTCAAGGCCACTATGAAGATCCGCCAACAAAAGGCCACGTAGTTGTTAGACCACGGCCATGGCTGGGTTTAAAATCTGACTCTGGGAATTGTGCCATCCAAAGCAATCGCAAGACTACAGTGTGGAAGGACACACATTTCGGCCGGCAACCATGATGTGTAAAAGCTCACATCACAACCGGCCATGACACTCAGAAACTAGCGCCAAAAATCCCGGTTCTCCTTGTCATAGCGCCTGATGAAGGCCGCCCCCCGACTCGTGCACGGTCAGCTCCACTTCCACCAGTGCCGCCGTAGCCACCACCACGATGTTCATCATCATCGTAGTCGTAGTCGCGTCCATATCCTCTTCTGGGCCTTCTGGGTCATCACCGTCTCCTGGTTGGGAATGGTCTGAATCATCAGTCCGTTCTTCTTCTTCTCCTTCTTCTGCATGTCCTTGAAGACTTCCAGACTCCGTCTCCGGCTCTTCCAAGAAATCGATGCCACTATCATTGTTGAGCCATGATCTCACTTGTTCTGCCGCTTCAATCCATATCTCTGTGTTGCCGCTCTGAAACTTCACCAAGAGATTCTGTAGGTTTCTCAAAAGTTGCAGCATCTTTGCTCGTTCTGCTTGATCTCGTTGCAAATGAATTGAGTTGAGTTCGACAAACCTCTGCAATTGTGCACCACCACATTCTCTTGTCCAATGCCTTGCATCAGTAGATCCCAACGGTAATCATCCAAAGCATCAGGTGCCCTTGGCACGGGCATGTTACAGAAAGAGTTTGCCATGGGTACACTGCTGAGGCAAAAGTTGCCATCGTTCATGATGCAAAGCATAGGTGGTTCCATTGAGCTCGAAGGTTGTGCTCCACTTGCACCTCGATCATCAGCCATCTTCATCGCCACTTCCATTGCGACTCGTCGATCAACTTGTCGTGACAAAGATCCAGGCATTGATTTGGGTTGAGGATTGCTTCCATCATCATAGTCATCTCTTGGCCTTGATTTTGTAGTAGCCCCACCTGAATCTCTGTCTGGGACAAATCCATGGTGTAAGTTGGCCCACTCGTCAGGGTCACTCACTTCTTCCATTCCACTTTGAAGATATCGTTGGTATCTCTGCATAGGTGTTTCTTCCAACTCAAAGGAATCTTCCTCCTCCTCCGCTGGGTTTCCACCATCATCTCGTTCACCAGCATCTGCTGCTTCATGAGCACCTTCTTGTCACCTGCCCTTTGAACCTAAAAACTTGTGGGCCCAACGTGACATACCCGTCTCATTAATCGACGTGTTTGATTCAAACTCAAGCAGCTGCTGTCCGCATCCTTTTTCATATCGGGGGAAGAATCGAGGTTTGAGATTCTGATATCTCATCTGATTTCTGTACATCGATCTTTCCAACCTGCTGACAGGGGTCCATCGGTTTGGAAGTCAGGTTGGATTGGTTCGGTTTCCATCTTCCCCCCCCACCCTGTTGTAGGGTAGGGAGGGCGGGAAAACAAAGAAATTTGATTGTCTGAATGTTCAATGATCTCATGTTCGAATGTTTCACTTCCCTGTCCCATGTTCTATCTGTTATCACATGGATGACATGAAGTGACATGGATTGACAAGACTCAGATGTCTTGTGTGCCTTCTCTGCTGAAGGTCTTTAAGCCAAAATGGTTTGGATATTCATGAGACCATTCGAAATTCCCAAACTCTAATTATAGATGTTTGACGTTTCACTGCAAATCACTGAAGTATGAAATTCTGATGCCTCAAATTTCCAACTGTCCAACATCCAGAGTTCGTCAGTCAATCAAATCATTTCAACTCACAGGTTTTCACATTTGAGAAGATTTTTCTTTTTAACCTCTGGTTTCTTCAACTCAACAAGTTTTTAGGTCGTTTTGTGATGTGTCCCAAAACTGTCAAAGTATGGTTCCAAGAAAGTAATCTCCACGTTGTGTAAAATCCCTTCTTGTCACCTGCCCTTTGAACCTAAAAACTTGTGGACCCAACGTGACATACTCGTCTCATTAATCGACGTGTTTGATTCAAACTCAAGCAGCTGCTGTCCGCATCCTTTTTCATATCGGGGGAAGAATCGAGGTTTGAGATTCTGATATCTCATCTGATTTCTGTACATCGATCTTTCCAACCTGCTGACAGGGGTCCATCGGTTTGGAAGTCAGGTTGGATTGGTTCGGTTTCCATCTTCCCCCTTCTTCAAACCGAATCTGTGGCGATTGCTTCGGCTCTGTTCCTTGAAGCCTGGACTAGCCATTCGGCTACTTGAGGTTGACACTGGAACCCATTTATGAAACGAGCCCCCCATCTAACGGATGCTTGCTTCCCTGCCAACCTGGAGGGTTCATCAGCAGGATTGCTCTTGCTTGGCACCCTCTCTATCCACCAAAAGGAGGGCATATGAACTTCAATCGAGTAAAAGGCCTTGACCAGGTCGTCCATTGAAGGACTATTGGATCGACCTTTGATGGTGCCCCCCCTTGCTGAGTTGTTGTCAACAAAGAGAAGGACTCGGCGATTATGAAGCTCGTGCATCCACTGCCATCTTATCAGCACCATTGCGAGGAGTTCGATTTGGCAGATGAGTTGATCGCCAACTGTCCCTTTCCACAGCAACAAAAGACTTCCATGAACCTCATCTTGTATCACCACACTGGAACCTGTGGACTCATCCAGAAGCACCGCTCCTAGGCCGCCTACTCCGCTCTCCCAGGAACCATCTGTAAACACAAGCGCAGTTTTTGTGTTGATGGTAATTGGGATGGTCCTGGGTCGGACACTTTCTAGTAGAACAAGAACTTCTTCACACCAAGCTTTCAGCTGCCTGGATTGGAAATTGCCCTTGTCTACCAAGGAAAAAATTTTGAAACATGAGTACGTCAAAGATCTCCCTGCAAAGTATCCGGTAGCGAAATTCAACAGGCCATGGATTTCCTGCGCCTCCGCCAAACTCATGCTGCCCGATTGTTGAATCCCTAAAATGTTTGAAGATATCTTCTCCACTCTTCCTTCCTTATTTTTCAAGGTTACAATTCCGGCAGGCTTCAAGTTGGTCAAGTCCAATGTCATTCCCAGCACATCAAGTGATGGCGCAAACGGTTTTCCTTTCGGTCCCGTTCTGTCATGGCGCCACCCCAAGAGATCTAGGAAATCTGACACCAATGCATCAGTTTCTGGCGCAGCTTTTTTCGGTGCAAACATGGGGTAGTCATCGAAATACACTGCCGATGGCACTTTCAAAAGAACATTAATCAAGAACCAGATCGATCTACTGACTCGGTTGAATGCATAAACTGCGGCCGTCGACCCAAACATTAAAGCATTGGGGATATAGTATCTGGCGTTCCCTTGCTGATCTCTGAAGAACACCACTGCCAGATCTCTATGACTCGGCTTAATGGACAGTTGCTTGTATGCCTTGGATAGGTCTAAGGTTTTGCCTACCCAATCTAAGCCTCTAGTCTTCCCAAGTTCTAATGTCAGGGCAATCACATAGTCTGCATCTTGCAAGTCAAGTCTGATCGTTGAAGTGGATGCCGAATTCAACTGCGCCTCAAGCCCGTCATCTATGGGCCTCAGTTTTGCCCCTTGCTCTATAACGAAACGCCTCATGATGCGCCAGTTAGAGTGGCCAAGGGCTTCTGTCACTGCGGCAGCTGAATGGTAAGGTCCTTCGAGGAACGACATGTCGACCTCTTCTTGTGCTGTTTCCTCCAAGTGCTGAGCAAAGCCCGGCGCATCAGTTTGCGGCCTCCTGTTTTCCAGGGCCAGCCTGCACGGCACTGCTGAATCTCTAAGTTCTTCCTCTGTCGTGGATGCGAGCTTGATTTTCAGAGGATAGCACTTAGGATGATCATGCGTTCCTACTAGGGGAACCCCTTCCTTCATGAACTGCACCACTTCCATGTCATCGTACCCATTCTGTTCCAGCAACTTTTGCCAAAGTAATATTTTCTTTCCTTGAACCACTTTCGCTATCGAGTCAGGAAGATTGTTCTGCAGCGTTTTCTCCTGACCCTCCAGTTGCTTGGCCAGGATTTTGGCTGTCAACAAGTTCTTCTTCCTTTCTATCGACACAAGTTCTTGGGAATTACCTGACACAAACTCAATCGCATCCTTTGTAATTTTCTCCAATGCATTCTCATCCATGGGATGGCGTGCACTTTGAGCTTCTTTCACAAATTGCGTTGGTGTGTACCAGGTCCCCACCAAGACATCTCCGTTTGACCTTTCTTCTGGATTCCCTTCTTGGTATTCCCCCTTAAGGATGAAGGGATCAGTTTTTGCTGGTCTGTGAGGCGAGCTGTGGACGGGAGCCACGTGATGTCTGCAAACTCAGGAACAAGTTGGGAACGTCTTTTATGTTGCCGGTGCTGGACAGCCAAGGTTTTTATCCTGGGATTAAGGGGAGGAAAAAACGAAATGTTTTTTGGCTTGCAAAAACTTTTTAACTGCTGCGGCAACACGTTCTGCTAACAAGTCTGGGTAAGCTGCTTCACTGGATGTGTCGAAGGTCCATGCTCCATTATCGGATCGAACTTGATATGGTAAGTGGTCGTGGTCATTTTGGCAATGTGCTGTCAATGAGTCAAAGACACCCGGTGTTGATTTCCAGCGGGTTCCCTTCTTTCGTTACGTTGTCCGCCATGGCAACAGTTGTGAAAGAAAATCTCTGTGAGAGAGTCCCAAAATTTTGTAAGATCAGAGGTGTTCTGAGCCTGAACATATGCCAAAATGGCTGCCCAAAACCAAGATCTGTATGGGTTTTCCAAGCTAATCACGGAGTTATATTTCATAGCGATTAGAAGGATGTCGACAACAAATCTGTACAATTGATTGGTTTTTTTCAGTCTGATGCCCGATGTTGAATCTGGATTAATGTGGGGAAGGCCTAATGGGCGATCTGCAGAACGCAGTGGTGGGGGTTGTGGAGCCCCCTGTCTAATTTTATCCCTAGCAACGGGCTTTTCCCTGGCTCGGGATGCGGTGCCGCATGGCATGCCCAAATGGATGTAATCTGGCGGCCGATTGTTCAAAAGGTCAATTAGGCGATCTCGTCGAGTAGTGGTATAATGCCCGTCTCAGCACCGTGCATATGACAGCTAGCGGATCGGTTCCCCCCGGGTACGGGGCCGCGATCGTGACGTGGTAGACGAGTAAGTCTCAATACACCACGACCCGCCGAAAGGCACACGGCGCCGGTCAAAAAAAAAAAAGGTCAATTAAGATTTTCTGATGGTCGGCTTGGGTCAAATCCAAGAGGGTGACCGGCACCTAAGGGTTGTGCATGACATGGCCCACTGCAAGAACGGAAAAACCTGCATTGATCAACGCTCTGGAATGAGGCCTGCCCACAACAGATTTCTACTGCAAAAGGCTGCTGAGGTGACACTTGCATCGGTCAGGGGTGATGCTGAGGTGAGACTGCAATTGATTTAGGCGGTTCTAATGGCATGAATTCGCCGCCTGAACACTGCACTTGTCACTCGGCTGAGTGACTGCACTCGTAATGGGGCTTAGGCTTGTGGCATCCTTGCTTGTAGCACAGATGGGTATCCACGTTGGCATCTGGGCCCCGATCCTCTGAACCCACAGACACCTTTGTTGAATGCGAAGCATAACGGCTTGCCGTCCGGTGTCTTTGCTACACATCCTTGTGGGATGTCGATCCCCCTTGTTTTGACTTTGTCTTGCCTTTGCCCTTGCCTTTACCCTTCTGGTATTTGTTGCAGATCATTGAATGGGACAAATAGATGTTTATCCGGGCATCCAACAATTTGGTAGGCCAATTGCAAACTGAGCCAGGGTCAGCTGTGACACCGCTGGACAAGGAGATCAAGGCCCTGCGCACATCACCCGGTTGATGCCATATCTGATGCCTGTGCCGGTTAGACCAGAACCAAAGACCAATCCCAAACCTGACAAGAGGCCTATATCCGATGCATCCGATCGTCCCCACATGGCTGATCTCAGATCTGAAGCTAGAAAAAAGTGGTAATGAGTTGGTAATGAATTGGTTAGTGATGATTACAAGGTCGATTTTTTTTCCGTGCCTCATAGCTCTCGCCAGGTCGTTCATCATGCCTGTAAGCCAGTTGCATATTAACAAATTCGATTAATTGATGCAAACACGTCATCCATCTTTACGACGGTGGACTTCAATAGTGAAGTGATGATTACAAGGTCGAGACACTGATTGAAGCATGCCTGAGACCCTAATCGATCAGGTCCTTATTGTATGATTTTGGCCTTCATGTTGCCATCAAATCAGAATCTGCAATTACTGCATCTTCTTGAAAAAAACAATGATGAAGCTGTCTTACTGACTGTGCCTCTCAGTTGAGGTCTTGGTTCCCCGAAAATCGGGCTGCGGAGAAAATAAATCTTTTCCAATCCACTGACAACTTGATCAATGTGCTCTCTGAGAGAGATCTGGCTCTGATGCCATGCTTTTGATAGTGACCTGTCAGAATCACGGCTGCAAGACGCTCCTTTTTTCTCGACCATTGCTACTCTGTAGCATCAAAATGTTGCTCACAGCCCAGAACTCTGTTGTTCGGCCGGGGCTGTTAACAAGATCAAGCTTCTGTGATCATCTGGATATCTTGGAGAGTTTCTTGCACTAAAGACACGACGGTTTCAAGTGGCTCATTTGGAAGACACGCTAGTTATCCATTCTTCCAATACCGACAAACGATGGTCAAGCTCGAGGATCAAGGTTGTTTGGTCCAACTCCCTCAACGCCCTGTATCCACGGGGCCTATTGGACCCCACTAAACGCTCCGCGCTGTGGCCGGAGACCTGTGGGTTCAGTCACACACGCCGTAAATACCGCACCTGCCACCAAAATCTGCACTAAACGCTGTTAGTTTTCACATTGTGACTGCCAGAAGTATTGCACCTGCCAAGCAAGTCAAACCCGCAGGGGCGACAGCAAAGTTAGCGCAAAACAGCGCGCTTTCTGCAAGACGGGAAAAAAGCATTTGCATCCTCTATTGCAACTGCGTCGCAATCGTTTTGCCCGATGTCTTTCGCTGATCCGGCGTTTTTGTGCCGCAGCTTATATCAATTTTGGTTGACCTCAGCGTAGTGAGTGTGAAGTGGACTTCCCTCCAAGTTCACTGCTCACTCTGCATCCTTCAAAGCAGTGACTTTTCAGCAAATTGATGGTACGATGAGGTGCAGCTTTTTCTGTGACACATCGTCAGGGCCCTCTGTGCCGTTCCCCCATGGGGACGGCATAACAGCAAACGGTGACAGCTGACCTTACTTCGGCTGTGGCGAAAGGGTCAAGATTACATCCTACTCATACTCTTTCAGGATTCGATGGCGGATGCTTGAAAAAGTACATGTGAGAGGAATCTGAGGAGCCTTCCGCTGTGTACTAATGGGATGTCACAATTTGCCACCTTTGTTAATGGCAGTTTGCTGACGTATCGTTTCACACGGCTTGCAGGGCCATAGACGATGATCTAATTGTTTCGTAGTGCATGTTTTTGATGACACGGTGGGACATTCCCCCTGTGTGTATTGGCAAATCCGTTCTTTCTGGTTTTGGTGTTTTGTTTGGGCCCTGGCCCCGTTCTTGTTTTGCTTCGCTGTTGTTTCTCGATCGCGAAACGCAAATCTGGCCGGGGGATTTGCGTGTTGTCGCCTTCGTTGGTTTTTTTTGTTATCGTGATTGTTTGTGATGATTTGCCCTTTTTCTGATGAGACCACTATGTTTCATGCTGACGTTTTTTAATTCGTTTACCTGCTTATCCGAATGTTAGAACCGAGCCTCAGAGCGACATCGGCCGCAACAGAAGAAAAAAAAGGGCAACATGCTATGCAATAGCGTGTTGATCGACCTGGGGAAAGCTAAGATTTTTTGTGGCCCAAGCCCGTTGCCTTTCGGCGGGTCTACGGTACTTGAGACTTACTCGTCTACCACGTCACGATCGCAGCCCCGTACCCGGGGGGAATCGATCCGCGGCTAGCTGTCTATGCACGGTCCTGCTGATTTTGATGGAGGTGCGGAGGGTTGTACTGGGGAGAACCTCTTGTTGGAGTCCAAAAAGCGACTGTGTTTACGGCCCCGAAAATGAGATTGCTGCAGTTTTTTTCCTTCCATCGCCTCTCAGCTTCTGCCAGGTCAATCAACACGTTGTTGCATGTACTGAGGAGGTACACTCATGAGTCTCCAGGATCACAATACTTTCCAGAGCTTGAATTCGAATGAGCCTCCCCCCATCCCCCTAAGACCAATGTTGATACAAACATAAACGTGAAAAATCGAACGCGCCGGTGTGCGATCCATCTAAGGGACTTCTCGTTTGCACAACATCCAATATTAAAATTCCGGGGCAAGGGGATACACATAGAGTTAAGACGAAATCAAAAAGCTAGCAGCCAGACTGCTGACGCAGTGGTTGCTGAATGGCAAACTGCCTGTGAGACAAATGGATTTGCCATTCTCTCTCAAACAGTGAGGTCGGTGCCAACGCTTCCGGCAAACATAAGCAAGCATCAACCCGCCCGGAAAAGACTCAAGAAAAGCACGCTGGCTGCCACTACTCTAACATGCTGTGTTTTCAGATGTACAAACCTCGAACAAACTCGGAATACACGTCCTATCGGACAGTTTACAATGGCAGGAACACTTCAAGTGGCAAAGCTCTGGCATGCTGGTTTTTCATATGTACAAACCTTAAGCAAACCTTGTTCAACCTCAAATCTGTGGGGTCCGACCATGCCAGCAGGCGCGATTTAAAGGAAAGTTCAATTAATTTCTTTTTTGCGCGGCAACTGTAGATTTCCTCCGCTGCCTAGAATTGAGGTTTGATTGGGGTTTGTACATATGAAAACACAGCAGATCGAAGGTGTCGTTATGACATGGGTTTCCCAATAGAATGCACAGCACAGAGATGTTTTCAAAGTATGCCTGGAGTTTGTACACATGAAAACAGTGCACATCGAAGATGTCACCAAAAAGTGCTCACTTCTCAGTGAAATGAGCTCCGCGCAGACATTAACAATGTTTGTTTGAGTTTGTACAATGAAAACACAGCGGAAGGAAGAAGAACAAAGCATTGCAAACAAAAAAGACAACAAGACTGCGGGAAGCGAGCTGCATGCAGATCTTGCCACTGCAATAATTCGGTGAAGTTACAAAATGCAATTGTCTTTCCGGCTTGAGAAACGACCTGGCGAGATACATCAACTACGTCAATTGAGCTGCATTTTTGGACAGTTGCACATTTTCTGCCAGCTACGAAGTTAGTCAAGCGCAAAAAAGCACTGCTGCTCATTCCGCGTACAGCCGAAGATTTTTTCCGTCCAACGTCTCCCCCCTCCTCTGTTTGGCTGTTTTGTTTTGGGCGGAAGCCATGAAGGCGTTTGGACGGGAAAAATACATGGCCGCCTGCAGATTGAGGGGCTTCAAGAGTGATCTGGTAAAGGACTTGTGCATAGTCCAGTCTGTCACGAAGTCATCACAAACCAAAAACAACAACAAAAAAACAAAAACAAACCCACACAAACAAAACAAAACACAGCAACCAGGTCGTTCAACACGTTCAATTGCATGTTGCAAATTAGGCTGCATTAATTAGCTAATTAACCCTAGTTTGCAACATGCAATTGAACGTGTTGGACTTTTTTTTTGGT